CAAACAAGTCCTGGCCACAACGCGGGCGCTTGGTCAAATAAGTGGGCATTACTTTGGAGGTTACAAGGCGGTCGCAAGATATCCAAGCTCTGACAGCCTCTGTGGAGCAGGCAAAGCCTGACCAATTGGCCCTGCTTTTGTATGGTTTCAGACTGTTTCAGACTGGGTGTGGGAGCCATGCCTAGAAGAAGAAGAAGTACTAGTAGTGGTAGTAGTAGTAGTAGTAGTAGCAGAAGCAGTAGCAGTAGTAATACTAGTAGTAGTAATGGTAATAGTAGTAGTAATAATAGTAGTAGTAGAAGAAGTAGTAGTAATAGCAGTAGTAGCTGTAGTAGTCTTCGTAATAGTAGTAGTAGTAGTAGTAGTAGCAGTAGTACTAGTAGTACTAAACAGCAGTAGTAGCAGTAGCAGTAGTAGCAGTAGTAGCAGTAGTAGTAGTAGTCGCCGTAGTAGTAGTAATAATACGAAAGCACGTTAGTAGCGGCGGAAGCACAGGTCCCAGACCTACTTAGTGCCACCTAAATACATACGTCCCGCCTGGAAGATGCCTACACCCGTTTGTGTGTTTTCAGACTGTTTCGGACTGGCTGTTGAAGCCTTGCCTAGAATGCGGGCTTGTGAGACAGCTTGCGCTCGAAACCTGCTGGCCTTTGCAACTGGTGCGCTGAAGTGATGAAGGTGCTACTAGTATTACTGATTACACAGTTTTAAAAAAATCACGCCTTGCCATGACTCCAGTTATTGTCCTTCGCGCCTCCGCGCGCGCCGCATCCGCGCGCGCGCGGCACCGCCGCGCGCGCGGTTGCCGCGCGCGCGGTCGGGGCGTTATACCAGAATAGTAGTAGCATCAGCAGAAGCAGTAGTTTGCAATGCTTTTAATCATAATACCGCGTAGTAGTAGTGTTAGTAGTAGTAGTAGCAGTAGTAGTAGTAGCAGTAGTAGTAGTAGTAGTAGTAGCAGTAGTAGTAGTAGTAGTAGTAGTATTAGTAGTAGAAGTAGAAGTAGAAGTAGTACTAGTAGTGGCAGCACTTGCGCCCGCCCTTGCACCTTCTTGCGCCTACGTCGTGTTTTCATATGTCTGGGATGAGATTTCTTATATCTATATTCCGCTATAGACTAAACACAAGCGACGGGGTTTTCTGATGACCCTCATATTTCTCTCTCTCTCTCTCTCTTTCTCTCTCTCTCTTTCTCTCTCTCTCTCTCTCTCTCTCTCTCTTTCTCTCTCTCTCTCTCTCTCTCTCTCTCTCTCTCTCTCTCTCTCTCTCTCTCTCTTGTGTCCTCGAGTTTGGTGGCAGCCTTTTTTTGGGCCGGTCGCGCCGAGTATCAACAACCAAGCCATCTCGGTCTTTCCCTGTCAGGGGAACAAGGCGTTCCAAGATAGCAGGGTTTGCCTTTGGCTTCCGAACACAGTTGCAAAAAGGACCTGGACATTAAAAATTAGCCTTTTGAAGCCTGCACAGGGATCCTTACATTATACATCCGAACATTGCCTTGTAAATGATGGTGTCCCTCTATTTTGGTGGAAAAAGCCATGTTTCAAATGGGCAACATGTATCTTTTAAGGAGCCCTGCTGCACTATATACATGTTGACCAAACTAGGGAAACCCAACTGTTAAAGGGTCGAATCGCTTTGGGCAACTGCGGAAAGCCATCTTAGCAGTTAAAGATGATGCAAACCACCGAATGAAAGGAACACTCGTCACGCTGGAGAAATCCTCCGCAGTGAGCCTTTCAATTGGTTGCACACATCGGGCTACATCCGATGCTTTCCTTTTGTCCAACCCTAAAGCGGCCGAAGCCATATTTTTGGGACATCTCAAATGCGAACTTCAAGTGTGGAACCCCTTTAAGAAGGAGTCCCACGGGTCCCCACGTGGGTGCGTATTTCTTTCTCTCTCTCTCTGCCGTTGCGTCCAAGAGGGTCTTGACGCAGCAAGGCACCGAAAAAGGCGTATTTCTTTAGGGCACGCTTTTTGGGATGTTGAAGGGAAGCCGACCAGAAGACCTGTGTTTTGCATTCCCCCACTTTGAAAAACAACACGCATGCGCGCGCACACACACACACACATGCGCCTTGGCCCACGTTTGGCGTACGGAATTGTGCTTCATGCTTTGTCCACCCAAAAAGAAAAACCGTTTCGGCCCCAAAAATGCGAGACTTTGGCTTCTCGGCTCCCCTCGATACTTCTCGATCCGGATCGATCTCGAGATCTCGAGATCTCTCAGCGCGGCGCAGATCGGGGCACTCGGCGATGCAGGCGGGAGCCAAGTCCCTGACTGCGCGCAGCATGCTGCTGCCCGAGCAGGGCGCCACCTCCTCGGGAGATCTGGGGATCGAGAGATCTGTCACTTGAGCCCCGGCCGCCTACCTTGAGGTGGAGGGGGTTGGGGGGGGGTCCCGCAATTCCATTTATCCAGTCTTCCAACCGCAAAAGGGAAAATGGAACCTGAAATGGAGATCTCCAGGGGTCGAAATCCCCCCTCCCCCAATTCCATTTTGAAGGGGGTGGGGATTGAGCCCCTAGCCCCAAAAAGCGACGGAAGAGCGAAGCAAAGCTCTTGTAAGTACGTAGGTCTTTGTATGGGAAAGCGCTGGAGTTGAAAACTCAGATGCCCAGTGGCCATGGGAAAAAAGGGCACTTTTCTCTCTCTTTTTTTTTGGGTTGGGTGAGTTTCAAGGGGAACCCTTCCCCCCCCCGAGAAAAAAAAGGGCGCCGCTGGGCAACAAAGAAAAGCTCCTGCTGGGGCAATTCGGTCACAAGGCGGAACATGCGGAACCGTCATGCTTTCTGGCATCGAGGGAAGCCATGGTGAACCCACCAGGTGAGCGGCCCCCAATAAGGACCCCCTCCCCCCAAAAAAAAGAAGGAAAAACAAGAAAACAAGTCATAAAGGAAACCATCAATTGTCAGCTTCCTTCTGATTGGTGGTTTGGCTTCTCTCTTCAAAAGCCAGGGGTTCAAATCCCCAGGGCACCAATCCAAACCGCCTAAGGGTTGCCTGACCCTGTTTCGCAGCCCCCCCCCCATACGAAAGAAAGGGAATTCGCCTTGAATTGAGATACTTATTTCGTCTGATTTGGCGTCTCTCATCTTGCTTTCTACTTTTGTGCCCTCCCTCGCTTGTTGCTTTCCTCATGAGGTCACGGCAATTTGGGTCTGAGACAAGGAATGGGGGAAGTTTGTGGACTACTGGGCTCCATGAAGAATCAGGAAACTCCGCCTCCATGGGCCAGGATCGTTTTGGCCTTGGGTGAGGCAATAGATCGCTACACGTTTCTCACCTCCAGAGTGAATTTGGCCGTCCAAATGTTTTGTGCCGCTAAACTGGCATTCCCGGAAAGAGACTAACGGCCAGGGTGCCTGGTAACTGTGATCCGCCCCCCCACCGCCAAGGAAAAGAAAAGGTTAAATTATCTCTAAATAGTCCGTGCCTCGCATGTTGACCTCGCACGGAAAGCCCCAAAATGTGACTCTTAGCTTCCCCATCCTAGGTTTGAATTGGTTTGGAGTTTGTAGGTCTTCCGGGGGTTGAAACCACCCCGAGCCACCCATCGAAACCCATCCTGCTCCAGCGCAGCAGCGCCCAGCAAGAGCACCGCGGTCCAGAGGGCCATGGCTGCAAGTTTTTTGTTCACGGATCTGAACGCAACAGGCAAGGGCGGTCTGCTCAAGGCTTTGGCAACTTCCAGAAGGGTTGCTAGTGACCTCCTGTGTGGGGTGTGTTGTATGATAAAAAAAATGAGACTATGTGTCAGGTATCTGTTGGTGATTGAACTGGAATTCGTTAGATGGAAGTGTGCGCAAACGCACAGGGGGCTCTGCAAGCGTGTCTTTGCAAATTCTGCGCGCATTTGACGGATTTCGACGGGGCCTCTCAAACCCCCCCCTTGTGGGTGCCTCACGAAAGAACCAACAAAACCCACTTGTCATTCTTGCGCTGGGGGGCCACCCAAAATGGTGGTTTTCCTTCTGGTTCCACACAAGACAGGGGTGTCCTCAAAGAAGACAGATCCAAATAGTTCCTAACTTGCTTCCTGGGTGGATCGATCCACAAAAAGTCGGATCCGTTTGCTTGCTGCTAACATGGTCAAAAGTCCAGAAACTCAGGGAGTGAGTTTAAGCAACACTCAGATCCTTCCTTTTACGCCCTACTTTGTGAGCGGATTGGTTAAAATAAAACAACCTAGATAGCCAAGTTGCTGCTATTTTCAATCACTGTTGCTGGCTTTTGGGGCAAAGTGGAGGGAAAAAAGCGATCGCAACTGGATCGATCCAGGAACTACTTCTAGGTGTGCGACCAATGCGATCTTCTCAGAAATCGACTCGGGTCCAGAAACTGGTTGTCTCTCTCTCTCTCTCTCTCTCTCTCTCTAGGGCTATCCTGCAGGTCCCAATTTGTGGTTCGAGGTGTGAGTTATATCTTTGCCCATGGCATCCATGTGGCTGCGGCTCAAAAAAATGGAATACCCAAAACCGGCTCCTTGGTAAATGGGTGTGGCTCAAACTTAACCATGAGGGGCAAACCGCAGGATTTGGTCCATGTTTCCACTTTCCGATCGGGTTCCATTTTGGAATTCCGGCTTTTTGAGCCACGGCCAAGTGAAATTTCGGGACTCGCTTTGGCTGGCTTCCGGGAGCAAAAAACTGTTCATTTAACGCTAAAATGGTCCAAACATCCCCCCTACCTTAAGGGGGAGGGGGGTGGGGGGTCCCACAATTCCATTTATCCAGTCTTCCAACCACAAAAGGGAAAATGGAACCTGAAATGGAGATCTCCAGGGGTCGAAATCCCCCCTCCCCCAATTCCATTTTGAAGGGGGTGGGGATGTCCAAACCCAGTTCAAAGTCCAACTTGGGGAGAGGGGGCTCATAGGTGTGTCTTTCTTGGGGCCCATAGGGGACCCCACAGAATGGTGGTTCTCCTTTTGGCAGCCTTTCACGGGCATGTGCTATGCGACTTCGGTCCGACCATGCCACCCTCGAGCGCCCCGGCACGCTTGCCCGAAGATTCCAGTTGGACGAGCACCTGCGGCTCATGGACTTCTAATTCTGGAATCCGCTGGCTAGGTCCTCCAGTAGAGAAACAAGCACTAAATTTACCCACTAAAGCCGCAAAAACATGAGCTAGGAACAGTGCCTAGGTCCTCCAGTAGTGAGGCTAGAATAAGTGTACCAACTTTTTTTCTGTAGTCTATTTTGGTAGGGGAACCGAACCCTCCGCACCAAAAAAGGGGTGAGAGGTCGGGCACCAAAAAGGCTGGGTCCCGGACCTAGGCTCCCAGCCTCCCAGCCGGGGGGTTTTTGGTGGGGCGGGTGTTGTTGAGAGCCCCAGAGTCCTCGTTCCTTGGAAGCCTTGAGCTCCCTCCAACTTGCAACCAAACTTGGTTGACGCTGGAAGGGGGGCAAACAAGTAAATCTTAGCAGCTAAGTGGATTTGGATTCCAACCACTAAACCACAATTCGCGCAAAATGGGGAAAAATGCCAAAGGCCAACCGCTTGACCCAACAACCACCATGCCAAAGGCCCCGGAAATAAAAGCCGTGAGTCCCCCGGTTTCGAGGATCACCCCTTTTTGTTTCGAGTTTTGAGGGGAAACCCAAACGAAACTATCCCTTTTCTCTGCTTCCCCTTGGGCTGTCCTCTGCTAAAAGCTTAACTTGCGAGTTGATTGGAAATCCCGCTAAACACTAAAAAGCAAAAAAGCTAAGGCACCGGATGGCTGCGAACTACCAAGGCAAGAGGGAGTCGTTTCAAAAATCCCAGTTGCTCAGCGAGGGTTGGAGCTCTTTTTGAGGCTGACCTCGAGCAAAACCGGGAGAAAACAGGTGCCGCTGACTGTCCTTGAGGACAAATTTACAAGGTCCTCCAGTAGGGAGGATAGAATAAGGGGGGGACCAACTTTTTGCAGTCTATTTTAGTTGGGGAACCCTCTCAACCAAAAAGGTTGGTGAGAAAGGGCACCTAGCTGGGGGACCTAGTTAAGAAGACAAGTGGGTTACCGGCATGTTGGCAAAACCACGGACTTTGCAGCCCCCCCAACTAAAAAACAACAACCACATATGTCAAGGGCATGCAACAATTAGATTCGAGTAAACTGGCTTGCCAAAATCACCGTGGATGGACAACATCGTGCACTACTGGATTGCAGGGCTTTGTCCTTCCATAGTTACTTGCCCCACCTCAGGGAACGGCCAAAACTAATATCTTCAACTTATGTCTCATGCTTCCCCCCTTGCAATGCATCATACGGCCGCGATTTTGAATCCGGGGCCCTTTGGAGCTTGGGGATTCATGCCCACCACTTGTCTGGTGGCTTACCGTCATACCGTCATATCCGCTTCTGAGACCAGAGCCCATTGATCTCCGCCTCTCACGCTGGCCTCCTGCCAAAGCCCACAGCTGCCCAACTGCACCAGGCCGGCAGGCCTCGGAAACGCCGGACACGCCGGGCTGTTTCCGCCGCACGAGGCACATGCTTCCCTCGATGATCGCAAATTCGTCTGGAGAAAATGCGATATGTTCAGTAGTGATCCCCGTGAAAACCAATATGACAAGAAGATGTATCCTTACACCAGGAAAACTACAATTGCGAAGCTTCCTGCGAGTACATTCATGATAAACCCCTTCTGCGAACCTTTCGCGGCGCTTCGACAACGGCAGGGGTTATCTGGAACGTCACTCAAAATGGAAGCTTCCGCCATGTCTTGGCCGTTTAGATTGACGATTCGACGGGCGAGTTTGTTCATGCACTTTGCCTCCACAAGAACCAGGGGCCCAAACCACCAATCCAAACCGAGCAACTGACAAAATTCGGAGACCGAGCACTGAGTAACCGGAGACCTCGAGGTTCGAGCGTGGGCCCCGTCCGAACCTGCGCGCGTCTGGGTGTTTGGCCAGAACCAAGATCCGAATCCGGCTGCACAGTCTGTCCCAGCGGACCCTTGATTTTCCCCATAAAAGACAACCCCCCAAAGAGTTAGATTGTATTGCAAGATCTCACGTCGGCAGTTCTCACTTGGAACATCTTAGAACCAGCGGGGCCAAATCAAAGCATCTCCAGTTCCAATAAACCACCAACCAATAGGGTTGTCTGAACAAGAAGCAAACCGACTTTCCGAAAAAAAAAAAAAAAAAACAAAAAAAAAAAAAACGCAGCGGCCTTCCTGTGCGGGAGCCAACACGGCCATGACCCCAGCAGAAGTCCCAAAGCTTTGCAACCCAAGTCAAGCTAATGTTGACGCTTGGGACACCCAACATGGTTGCCAGAGATATACGTGTCGCATGGAAATTATGGCCAAAGGATCCCTGTGGTAGAGTTTCTCTTCCGTTCCACCCAAGCAGACAGGCAACCTGCAAACAGGACCCTGAAAAACCTACATCATGGCGAGCGTGTCTTTGAGGGACCCCCCCTTTTGTTGCATTCAAAGGGACACCAAAAGGAAAACTTGCCATTTTGTGTGTTCCCTCCAAGAAGAGGCTTCGCAAGAAATGGGAGGCTAAGGCTTGGCCTCTAACGGCAAACAGACCTCCGCAAGCTGAAGATCTCGCAGGGTTCCATCCCTAACCCGGGAGAAGCTCAGCCAAGGTGAACCAAAAATCTCTGCCTCAAAGCTGAAACATGAGGTTGGCTCATGTTTAGGGGACCCCTGCCTTTTTTTTTAAAGGAAACCCAAAAAGGGTTCCAACTCAAAAAAAAGCGACCCAAGTAGAAAGGAGGGAAGCTGGAAAGTTTCTCCACCAAAGCCTTCGCTTTAAAAAGAAAGGAGCCACCCTCCTCAACACACGCGCGCGTTGAGCGCGCAGCTCGCGGGTGCTTTTCCCATGGCGCGGATGGCGCGGGTTTCGGCCAGCGAAAGCCGCCAAGGCTTCGAGGCCGGAGGTTGCCCTACCCAAGGGCGCTCAAAATCCAAATTGGTCCACTGCTAACACGAAAAAACACCGGAGTCCGGTTCGGGAAACCATAATTATTCATCAACCCCTGTGTATTTCATATGGGGTGTCCCTGGTTGTGGGGAATCAGACCACTGTTGGAGGGGCTTTCGCCCCCATATGCATTTCCAGGGTTTGATTAATGGGGAGTCAACATTATAAACAAATCGTCTACCCAAAACCATGCGAAGAATGAACAAGTTGGCCGCACCCATTGGCCGGGATTGTTCTTTCACTAATCTTCATCTGCCCGAATCGGATTTGAGCACGTGGCTCTGCTTCTGGAAGCTGCTTCTCGCTTTGAAGGGTCAAGAATTGAGCCGTAGGGTAGGTGTTTGGGTCCCAAAGTCTTGACTAAAAATCAGGCCCGACGCAAGCCCCAGCTCGAGCTTGCCTCGATCTGTGGCCTGCGCACGTGCCGCGTGCAACTTGTTCACGCTTTTTGCGCTAAGAGGCGCAGCTCTCCGAAACGAAGACAGACCGTCGCCCTCGACATTCGATTCATGGCCCAGAAATCTCAGGACCGCGACACCCCGAAGTCATTCATTGACTTCGGGGCATGTTCCGTGGAAAGCATGGGCTCGATTTGATTGCACCAGCCGGACTTGCAGGACCCCAAAGGGAATCTCCCGCTGTCCTTGAATTCAAGCATCCGGCGCCTTAAGATGGAAAGCGCACTGGCAGCTGCCTGCATCTAACCAAGCCTCCCCCCAAGAAGCCCACGAAAGGTAGGTCTTGCGCCTGCCTGAAGGCGGGGTGGGGGGGCTTCGGGCAACTTCTGCACCCCAGGGAAAACACTTCGAGCTGAATTACGCGGGCTGCGGTTGTCGCATGCGGTCGCCTGACCCGCCGAAAGAGTCCGAATCGAATTTGTTTGCCAGCGCACTTTCTGCGCTCAAGAGCGGAGTGGGTCCATTAAAAGGGAACCCCAAATGAATTAGCTCCCTCCTCCCCGGAATCTCGACTTTAAGGGGGGCCAAACGCCCTCGAAAATAGAAGTTTGCCTTTCTCTCTGCCTGGTTTATACCCAAAAAGTTGAAACAACTAACTGCGGCTAGTCGCGAAAAAATAGACAAACACTCATCTGCGGCTTGTTCGCGCCCAATCACGCAAAGGAAAGGCATGCCAACGGCTTAGCTAATGTTTGAATCCCACCTGTTGAGAAACATATCCTGAGAATAGGGAGCAAGAACCCACTGTCCTGCGCGTCGCAAAACTCGCGCCAAACTCACTCGCGCCAAGCTGGTTCTGGCTCAAGGCACCTTGGTTCGATCCTTTGTGGTTGGTTTTGAAGGGACCAACAGCAACCCCTCAATGTGTTGACGGGTGCCTGTAAAAACAGACGCATGCATATGTAATGTCAGCCTCTCAGGATGCACGTGTTTGGCATTAAACATCTTTCAACTACATGGTTGTGCGAACACTGTTGCCTGACCCTGTCAAAGCGTGCAACTATCTAAAAGGAACCCGTCCAACAAAAACAAACAAAAGGGCACCACCTGCGTACGTCAGTGCCAAGTATCGAAATCCACTTCCGGTCACTCGAGAAACAAACCTGCGACTCACCAAAGGTTTGCGTGCTCCATTCCTTTCACACTTGCTGCCTCAGAACCGGTGAGTACAGGAGGCCCAGCTTCGACTCCAGCTTACGTGGCTTGCTTTGGAGCATGCCGTGCGTGCTTGACTCCTGACTGCAGTTCAACTTACAATTGGAATGTATCAAGTGAGGTTCACAGAAGCCTACAGAACAAAAATACAGGACAAGGCAATGTCCTGTAGAATTTCCCCTCCCGGTTTCTTTCTCAGAGTACGGGTGGGTGAACATCCCCCAACTTAGAACAACAACTATAAGTTCTACCCGCGCTAAAAGAACCAGGGCTCTTGGTTGCTGTTGACTGCCCTTGAAAAAAAAAAAAAACCTTCTTGGGGGGTTTTGTGGAAAACCCTTGATTTCAACCAAAAAGTTAAAGTCTAAAGATCCGTTACCCAATGGCAGTCAAGGGCTGAGCTTCGTATGAAGTCCAAGGCGCGGTGGAAGAGAAGTGCCATCCATCCCCAGCAGACCGCCCGACGATCAGACGCGGGCGCCCCACCAAATGTTGCGGGGCCCAAACGCCTGACGCCAGAGACAAGCCCAGTGAAGGGCCAGGCCAATGGCTCTTGCAAAAAAAACGAAGGCTCACCTAGAAATCCCCAAGCTCCTGTAACAAATATGTCTTTGGGGGTATGACATTTTTTAGAGGTTGTTGGGTCTCCTGGTACGAAGTAAAACCTTTAAAAAACAAAAAAGTCCCCTAAGAAAGGAGGTGCCATAGTCTAGCACGAGGTCCAGTTCAATGAAGAGTTGCTGGATAGTCCTAAGACATGCCCATGGAAGGGACCCTCATGAGTGGAATCCCTAACATGGTTGGAGTTAGTTTTTGTTTTTTTTTGGGGGGGTCCAATTGAAACCACAAAACACATCACGGAATCCTGGAATCCTGGGGTGAGACACCACTACAAGAGAAATGGCATCAGGATTGCGGCCGTCCTATGCATAGGGAAATTATATTCCTTCACAAGTGATCCGGATTCCCACTAAAACTGGCACATCGTGATTTGGGTGCTTTTTGTTTTCCTTGGGAACGGGACCCCAAATGGCGCAAGGTGTTCCTTTTGGCTTCCCTTTACAAATTCAGCGGTACCTCAAAGGGGGCACCGGGGCCCATCTCTCAAACTCAACTAGTGGCCTTCGTCCGGGCCCAAAGTGCGGCGCGAATCGATCTGGATTTTGTCCACACAAAAATGGGTGTCTCTCTCTCTCTCTTTTTTCGTGAGGGAAATTAATGTGGCTATTTCCTTTGGGGCTTCAAAGTAAACCCACACCAATACAGGGTGAGCCTCAACAAAAGACGCCGCCCAACTTATGGGACAGTCCCTAAAACCGAATTATGGCCATGTTAGGTGCTTTCACCCAGTTTACTTGGGGAGTACAGTCAGCGTAAGCCTTTGTATAAAGTCTGCGTAAATCTCTGTAACCATATCAGCGGGTTTTGGCCGCTGATTTGAGTCTGCTGATGGAAACCTGAGAGCAATATTGTTTAATAGCGGGAGTGCACATTTTAAGGAGACGTCTTCATGCTCGGGGAGTCCCCCGCATTCACCGACCGACAAAGCTGATCTGGGAGTTGTTGTTTATCTGGGCTTCAAGACCGCGGTTGTTCAACAACCAGAGTTCTGCTTAGGGGTGGAGCAGTATGTCCGACTTGTCGTGCAGCGAGTTTCGAAAGCTTGCGGCTGGCCTGTCCAGCTGTGGTCCACCGTGGGCTGGTTCGCCATGGCATTGTTGGACTCCACCTGTGCGAGGGCTGGAGCTACAAAAAAAACAAGCAACTTGTCTGGAATTAGGACCACTTTTTGTTTTGCGTTTTTGCCTTGTTAGTGGAAAACAAAGGGAACCCAAAAAAGCAACACATTAAAAAGGGGAACTGATTCTAGGGAGGCAAAGAACCCTCCTATCAGCTTCCCCCTAATTGGTGATTTGGTGGTTAAGAGGTGGTTTCCCATTCCCCCCTCTCCAAGAAGCAGGGGTTCAAACCCCCCAAAAACCAATTCACGCTTCCCTGATCCAAACTGATAGAGAAAACCAACAAGGGAGGAACAAACACTGGTCACTGTCGCCTTTTCACCCCAAAAACCAGACGAGTTTTCATAACCACGTTTTACTTGCGCCATGGGCCGAACCCGGCAACCCTGGTTCAAATGCGGCGGAGCGGCGGAGCTTGGCAACTGTTTCCGGAAGTTGGGGGGTTCCTCATGTTTAACGAAGGCATTGAAGTCCTAAAGTCCTAAAGTGGAAACCCTCCCCCTGAAAAACAGAAGGGGAACTACTGGAGGTGGCTTTGACAAGCCTTTGGGGAAACAACTTTTCCATGTCAGGAACCATGCATGCCAACAGTCAGCCCACCCGTCCTCGAGAGCATCCAGTAGTTTTCTTAAAAGCCTCCGGATTGATCCGAAGTTCATGAGTAAAACCCCGAGATAGACATTGACAAGACCAAACGCCTACTTCCGTAGGGCCTCCATTCATATCACCTCACTGACCCGGGAGAACGGTTCTCCCTGGAGCTTCCCACCAGGTAATCCAGCTTTGGGGATTTCGAGAGGCATCCCAAGGGAGTAATGCAGCGGTCCAGTCAGAATCAAAACCTGGGTGTTCAAGTGGTCTACTCACTGAGTAGACCATTTGAATACCCAGGTTTTGAGTTTAGGACCAATGGCCCAGGTTTTGTCCACTCAGAACCATGCACAGAATGGAGCAACCAGCTGCACCCAATTATGCTTGGGACTATCCCTTATAAACCTTCATCTACACGTGTACGTGTTTCGATTGTGGCTCATTAGGATTGTAGATAACTGCGGTTCCTTTCGCAAGCGAACCAGTTCATTCAACGCATGGGTGTCTCTTTCTTGTTTCAGGCGACCCCCCCCAAAAAAAAACAACAAACAAACAAACAAACACACCAAAGCATGGTGACTGTCCTTCGGGCTTTCCTTTAAAACCACAAACGAGGGCATGAACCCAGACCATGGAACTCACGCAGCAGAGATCCGAATTCATCAGATCGAAGTTGCGTTGGCGGACGCCTCGACTTGGACTTGCCGCAATGGCCGAGTCGCAGCAATGTTAACCCCATATTAATCAATCCCAGTTTATTGATAGGGGGGTGTCCCCCTCTAAAAGTGCTGATTCCCAACCAAACCCAGGGACACCCCCCTTATTAAAAAAGGAGCAAAAAAGGTTGATTAATGCAAAGAAAAGAAGCCGCCGTCCTGTTGGGCCCATTTTAGTAAGACTCAAACTTACCCTCGCGAAATGCCTGGGCTTTGATAAACCCCCGCAAATGTTCACTCTCCAAGTCCCTGGACAATTAATAGAGTTCAAGCCTTTTGTCTTCCCCCAAAAGTAGTCTTCCGGGGCTAAAAGGTTTAGCGCGGACTCTCTCATGTGGCAACGGCGCACGGCGGCAGCAGTGCGGCCGTGCCTGTTGGGCTAAAAGGTTTAAAACGCCTTGATTTGGAGGAGTCAGTCTCACCAACCCCTCCCTCTTCTTGCTGAGTGGGTTTAAAGGTTGTGGAAACTCCATGCCCAGGAGTTTTTTTTGTTTTTTTGGTGCGCACCCCGAGAAACAAAGGAAGTGTCCAGCTCCTCCGAGCCTTACTTGGTTTTTATGTTGGAAGGGGGGCAAAAAAAATCAACCACTAACCCACAATAAGCAAAAACGTGACCTGTTTCCGAACGACTGCCATGCTTCAGCCTCAAACCCCCCCCAGCCCTGGCTCTCCTCCCCTCCAGCGGGCCACCTCCACCGGGTAGTTGGCCGGGGGCGGGCCGTTGGGGCGGAAGACCTGGGTCACGTGGGGGTTGGGCCGGTACTCCACGCCCCCCTGGTAGGCACCGCCCTTCCTGGCGGAAAGAACGCGCGAGGCCGCGGGGGTGTGGGTCAAAATTGGGCAACCCCAAAATGGCTTGCCCAGGTGAGTGGAAACAAGGACCAAAACCCGCGGGCGAATTCCTGGTGGTTTGCTTTTCACCCATATCCATACCTGGGTGAGTCCTGTTTTGAGAGTGTTCCATTTTTGGGGTGTTTTCTCTTTGTTTAGTTTTTAAGTGGGGAGGGAGGAAAGCAAACGATTCGACCCTGTGTATGGACAAAATATTGCATCCAAAAAAAACCTTGAAATGATGAGTCCCCTGTTTGCACCAACAAACTATGGTTTCCCATGGCTTGACCGTGGAGCATAATTTCGTCCACCCAGAATATGTTGCCTTGCTATTCTGCCTTGGCAAACCCCCGCCAGGCAAAAATCTGAGTCCCTTGAAGGATACCTCGTTCACTGATGATTAAAAAAAACCTTGCAACGCAAGTGGTTTGGAGACCTGTAAACTCATTCCACCAGTTCTCAGAACCCTTTTGGCACCATTCTCGCCCAAATCCGTGAAATTCACCCAGGGAAGTAAGTCCAGATTGTTTTTTGCAACCTCATTCTTGAGTCTGGGATTTGAGTTCTTCAACAACCAATGTGCGCCAACAACTGCTTGTTGGACAATTGGGATTTTGGATATGGAAAAAACAGTTTCGGGGGGGTACTGGAAACACATCCTTTGGCGGCTTGCAAGGACAGAAGGCAAGGACGTCTACAACCAACCTCTCATCCACACCCATGAGTTTGGCTTATTTTAGCACTCCGCGGCGTAGCCTCAATTTCGCCTCTCAGCCTCAAACCAGGCGTTTCGTCCACGTTTCGTCCACTCAAGTGTTCAGTAACCCTGGGAAAAAAGGGAACCCCTTTTGGGGGAAAACAAAAAAAGGAAAAAGGGTGCCACTGAACAACTGAGGCTTTATCTGGGAATCACGCGGAACACGAGGCAATCGTCCCAAGTGGTCTGTTCCAAGCCGCAATTCAAGTCACTTCCGCAGTGGGATGGCTGGAGCAAAAAAAGCTGTTTGTTGGCCACGAAAAAGCGGTCGAAACCGGAGAACGATAAACTCCATCAACTCAGGCAGTGTCAAAACCCCGAGCTCACCCAGCCTCGCGGTTGCTACAACCCAAATTTTCGCCGGGGTGCCCCCGAAATCCAATTGGGCTGTCCTCGGATCCCCCGCTAAAAGTTTGACTTTTAGTGGGTTAAATGGAAATCCCCACTAAACATTGAAAGGCTAAAAGGCTAAGGGGATGGCTGGGAGCCACCAAGCCAACAAAACCCACTCTCCCACTCTCCGACGCTCGCACATCCGTCCTGTCCCAGTGCCCGCGCTGCTCGTGGATGTGCCCGAAGAGGTGCACCTGGAGGTGTTTGTTGCCCTCTTGGCCGCTGATTTCGCAACTTCCGTTTGCTTTTTTGCCCCCTGGAAAAAATATATCCGCCGACCCCTTTGCAAAAGCCAAGTTAGTCTCTGCAAAGGGGCGAGGCGTGTTCTAAGTGGTGGTTATGGGGAGTCTGAGGGGGGGAGGGGGGGTCCCGCGGCGGATTTTTGACACGCCTAACCCCTAACCCTAACCTCTGACCCTAACCTCTAACCCTAACCTCTAGCCCTAACCTCTAACCCTAACCTCTAACTCTAACCCTCTAACCTCTAACCCTAACCTCTAACCCAAACCTCTAACCCTAACCTCTAACCCTAACCTCTAACCCTAACCTCTAACCCTAACCTCTAACCTTAACCTCTAACCGTGAGGATGGATGATGAAAGACTACGGGAAGATGACGGAAGAGTACGGGAAGATGACGGGAAGCTGACAGAAGACTACGAGAAGATGACGAAGACTGCGGGAGATGAATGGAAGACTACGGGAAGATGACGGAACACTACGGGAAGCTGACGGGGATGACGGGAAAATGACGGGAAGCTGACAGCAGACTACGGGAAGATGACGGAAGACTGCGGGAGATGACGGAAGACTACGGGAAGATGACGGACGACTACACGAAGATGACGGAAGCTCACGGAATGAGGGGAAGATGACGGAAGACTACGGGAAGCTGACGGGAAGATGAGATGACGGAAGACTGCACCTAGATGACGGAAGACTACGGGAAGATGACGGAAGATGACGGAGGACTGCGGGAAGATGACGGGAGACTACGGGAAGATGACGGAAGACTACGGGAAGATGACGGGAAGAGGACATGACGGAAGACTACGGGAAGATGACGGAAGACTACGGGAAGATGATGGAAGACTACAGGAAGATGACGGAAGACTACGGGAAGCATGATGGGAAGATGACGGAAGACTACGGGAAGATGACGGAAGACTACGGGAAGATGACGGGAAGATGACGGAAGACTACGGGAAGATGCCCCTAACCCCCAACCTCTAATCCTAACCTCTAACCCTAACCTCTAACCCTAACCTCTAACCCTAACCTCTAACCCTAACCTCTCTAACCTTAACCTCTAACCCTAACCTCTAACCCCAACCTCTAACCCTGACCCCTAACCCTAACCTCTAACCTTAACCTCTAACCGTGAGGATGATGATGAAAGACTACGGGAAGATGACGGAAGACTACGGGAACATGACGGGAAGCTGACAGAAGACTACGGGAAGATGACGGGAGATAATGGAAGACTACGGGAAGATGACGGAAGACTACGGGAAGCTGACGGGAAGACTACGGGAAGATGACGGAAGAGTGCGGGAAGATGACGGAAGACTACGGGAAGTTGGCGGAAAACTACACGAAGATGACGGAAAACTACGGGATGACGGAAGAATACGGGAAGGACTGCGGAAGACTAGGGGAAGATGACGGAAGACTACGGGAAGATGACGGAAGATGACGGAAGACTACGGGAAGCTGGCGGGAAGATGACGGAAGACTGCGGGAAGATGACGGAAGACTACGGGAAGATGACGGGAAGCTGACGGAAGACTACGGGAAGATGCTGACGGAAGACTGCGGGAAGATGACGGAAGACTACGCGAAGATGACGGCAGACTACGGGAAGACTACGGGAAGATGACGGGAAGCTGACGGAAGAGTACGGGAAGATGACCGAAGACTACGGGAAGATGACGGAAGACTACGGGAAGACGACGGAAGACTACGGGAAGATGACGGACCCTCTAACACTAACCTCTAAGACCACACGAAGATGACGGAAGACAGCGGGAAGATGACGATGATGATGATGATCAGGCGGATGATGAGGAGGATGATGATGCTGCTGCATGCTGATGAGGATGAGGATGACGATGGTGATGCTGCTGGCTGAGGATGATGATGATACTGAGGCTGAGGATGATGATGATAATGAGGATGATGATGGATGATGATGACGACATGGTGGATGATGACGGTTCATCAGCATCAGCAGCATCATCGTCATCCTCCTCATCATCATTATCATCATCCAGCAATATCCAGCATCACCATCAGCCTCATCATCCCCTGCATGCTGGGGATGCGGGGGCTGCCTTTTTGGCCTTCCATCGTTGTAGAAAAAGGCAGCTTTTGCAGCATCATCCTGCAGGTGCCCGGGGTGATGCTTTGCATGCTGGGGATGCAGGAGCTGCCTTTTTGGTCTTTGAATGTCGGGAAAAAAGGCAGCTTTTGCATCCCCCGCTTCACCAGCATCATCCTGCAGGTGCCCGGGTTGATGCTTTGCATGCTGGGGATGCAGGAGCTGCCTTTTTGGTCTTCGAATGTCAGGAAAAAAGGCAGCTTTTGCATCCCCCGCTTCACCTGCATCATCCTGCAGGTGTCTGGGGTGATGCCTTGCATGCTGGGGAGGAGCTGCCTTTTTGGTCTGGGACGGAGAAGAGCCGGGCTTTCTCAGCGACAACAAGGGCCGGATTTTCTCCAACGTCTGGCTTCATGCTGTCCGGGGCCAATAAGTAGAACCGGCTGGCTCTTAAGACCTTGGTGCCAATCCTGCTGAGAGACGGAGAAGGGCCGGAGTTTCTTTTCAAGCTTTTTGGGGAGGCACAAACCGAAACGGCTGCTTTTCGAGAACCGGCCCCCTTGCGTGCGCGCACCTGGCCGCACTTGGCATGGTAGCCATCGCAGCTGTCGTTCGTGACGCCCCGCAAAAACCTAACCCCTTTGATCAGGCACCTAGTAATTCGGGGTTTTGGGGCTTGTGCAAAACCAGCGGGCTCTCGAGGAATTGGCCAGATTACTGTTTGCTATAGGTTGGTGAACGCAAAACGGGCCGGCTGATTGCCTGTCATCTGCCTGTCTCTCCCCTTGGGATGATGATGATGATGCTGTTACGGGGGTCGGCAGCATCAGGCGTCAGCCTGCTAAATATATTTCCTGTGGTGATAGATTCCCTTTAAAACCAACAAGGGAAAGTACAAAATATTATTAAGCAAATGGAAGTCAAGGAGCATTGTTCACCTCCCGAGTCTCTGAGTGGCAACCGGGGGGAAGTCCGAAGTTTTGGTTTCCGAGTGGTAACCAAGCCCGAACTGTTGGGAATCTGTGCACCATAACCACGTGACAAGTGGGTATGTGTCAAAAATGCGTTGGGACTCCCAAACATGATTCCTGTTGGAACCCCTTTGAGCCGAGCACGTTCAGTGGATGTCCATGAGACAAACGGCACCTTTGCGGAAGTGCATCTTTGTTTTTCCTCCTGGGGAAGGGGGGAGGTTGGAGAGAGAAAACCGGGGTTCACTGGACAATCACTTGTGATACCAATATGGGAATGACTCCCATGGCGACTTCTCGCCATGGAGAGTCTCCGGGTTCGTGAATGTAGTTTTGATACTTAAGGACCCATACCTGGGTTTTGGAGGTGTGCTATATAGCCTCCATACCTCCAATCTCCTATCACACCTGAAAAGCCTGGTGAATTGAATCTCATGTTGAGAAGGGAATCCTTGAATAACCTGTGCAACTCTTTGGCCCCTGAGAAAACCCTTCTGGAGCCAAAATCCTGAACACGGTTCGACTTTTCAAGTTGTCTTCAACTGGTGATGTTGGCCCAGGACTAACATACAGCTGGTTGATTAGTAGGGAGATACCCCCTTTCAGTGGGAATCATTTACTTTTGTGGGCCCCCAACACCCCGTGTTGCTAAGTTGACAGGTTCTCTTAGCTCACAGCTTCATGGAAGCTGATAGCTCGACCAGGCCCCGAAGCGGGGCTTCGGGGCTTCGGGGCTTCGGGGGGCAAAATTTTCCTCAAGGAAGGCTTCCCGGAAGGCAGCCGTGGCAACATGGCGGGGCCTCGCTATCCCCAAGCAAAGAATCCCTGGACAATTTGCAAGGAATCCCTGGGCAGCTGCAGCGAGGGTAGCTAAGACCACGGTTCGGGCCACCCCACTTCCCCACTTCCCCACTTCCCCACCCACCCCCCCCACCCCACCTCCACCCCACCAACCCACCCCATCCCCCTCCCCATCCCATCCTTGGGCTTGGTGCGGTAAATGGCGCCCAACAGGTTCTGGCTGGAGCCCCAGTTCCCACCACCGGTCCTCGGAAAATGTTCCGGAGCTCGGAGGTCTTTCGACGGGGCACCGTCATGCGCGAGGTTCCGCGCCCCTGGGAAAAAAGACATATGCCTACCACTTCTGAGGGTTTTTGTATTACATCCTGGGATTACACCGTGGGGAAAAACCCAGCGGGTGTATTCCCAGGGTGTGATACCCAAAAATACTTGTAAACCAATCACGGGAACACGTAACATATTAAGCAAACTGGAAAATAAAAGGTTAGACCAAGTCCTTTGAGCCTCCGGATCTGCAAAGAGGTTCATAGGATCATCAAATCAGGCCCTCAGCTTGTGGGTCTTTCAGAAGATCGAACTTTGGGTCATTCAGCATCCAGATTTGTATTGTAGTAGTGCTGGAAAATGCCAGGCACAACCTACCGGCCGCAAAACCAGCCGAGCAAGCAAGTTGGGCTTGCCTTTGGGCGGGCAACATGCCAACGGTTTTTTGTTTTCCACATGGCCTCGCCCCACGCAGCTCCCAAAGGGTTCCAAGGCACCAGCAAATGCACCCAATGCCATTTGTCTCGAAGGCAGGCCAACCAAAAATGCCGAGTCCAGCATGGTCTTTTGGACACCCTCCGTTTGAAGTTGCTGTCTGTGGGGGTTCAACGTGGCCTTTACATGGGCCTGAGCAATGTTCCAAGCCAAGCAGATTCATATGTTCGTTTGAATTTTTGTTTTTGGGGGGAGGCCATGTGCTTATAGAACTCGCCGGTGGCTCCCTTATATACTTGCGATCGGTTCGATAGGCAGGGAGATTGGAATGACACCGAGAAAAAAAAGGTCCCCGATTTGGCTTCCTGTAAAGGAGTCCCTTCCGGTTCATTCTCAACACCCGGAAGCGCATTCCCTGAGCACCATCAAGCTTAGCTCAGTTGAAGAATTGGATGCCCGGAACTCCCCAACAGCTCCCTTCCCGAGCTCCCTGCGACAAGGCGGCTGGTCGAAAATTCCAAAGGGGGCCTCGTGCGTCACCAGGATGTCCACGCCTGCTTTCAGGAAAACAAACAAACGGAGCGGAGGCTTTGAAGATCCCAAGGGCTCCCTTGATTGTCCATTACATTGCTTATCCTCATGGGGGCTGCGGGGGAGGGAGGGGAGGGGCAGGGAGCCGAAAAAAAAGCCTTATTAAGCCCTTATTAAGGCCTTTGGGCTCCCTCCTCCCCTCCCTCCCCCCCAGCCCCCATAATAATCCCGAAAGACCGAAAACACAAGCAAATATGGACTGGGTCCGACAAAATGACATCCTCAAAGTCACCGACTTCAAATTGTGGTTTTAAGAGAAACTGCCGGGACCCAAAAGTAATCTGGTGAGGCGGGTGGGCCGCTTTGTCTGTCTGCGGCAATGCCACCAAGCAACCGGAAGCATACTTGAGCCAACCATAAGGCAACTAAACCCAATCTTCCATCTGCTTCAATGCCCTCGAAGTATGAATGTATTTCCAGTGGTAATTTCCCTCTAAAACAAACAGGCAAAATTGCTAACTCGTGGATTGTCCCATTTTTGGTCTACCACTAAAATGGTCCAAGCACGCAAAGTGGCTAAAGCAACTAGGAATTCAGGGAGTAAGAAACAAAAGCATTCTCCTCAAACTCACTTGCCCAGTTTGGACCTAGAAATAGGAGGTGATCACCTTTGGGGGCCACCAAAAACGGTTGCCAAAACAGAAAAGAACAAGGCGACCTGAGGCCGTGACTAAAAAAGCAGGATACCATGACAAGGTCAGATCTTCGCTTTGGGCAACGTCTTCCTCAAGTGGGTCTGTCTTTTTTGAGGGTACCCCTTTCTTGTGGCTAAAGGGAAGCCAAAAACACAGCCCTGGCTCCCTAACAAGGACAAACCCAAGTGGAGGCCACTTCGCGAGTTGATTGGCCAACAGACAAGTCAAGACTTTTTGTTTGACTGAAATCGTCCAAACCCACAAAGTGACTAAAGTCCAGGAACTCATTTCTGCAGCCGTGAGGAGGACATGCCCCACGGGCCCCACGGGCCCGGTCTCCGCGGGAGTGAGTGAAATGGAAACCATCCAATCCATGGGCGCCCTTGTAGAAAACTCGATGGCCCAAGAGATTGCGGTTTAGAACCATAGGCGTCCTTTTAGGGGAAATAGATGGCCCTGGTAGATGATTAAACCACCAGGTAAACCAGGGCCACCTATTTTCTACCAAAACAACCAAGAAGGACACCTATGTTTAGAACCCCTATCTAAACCAGTAGAAGCCATCGAATTCCGACTTCCAGCCCAAACTAACCAATCAAAAGAACCAGTGGAACCCATCGACTTCCAGCGCAAACTAACCCATCAAAAGGACACCTGATCCGATCCAATCGCCGACCTCCCGCAACAAAAAAAACATATCTATATGGGTATGTGTTTTTTTGACGTGGCCGTGCCGGGAGGTTGGTATAAGGGGTATGAATCGCAGGTATGGTTCGGGGTATGACTTGGGGGTATGATTCGGGGTTTGGCTCGCGCGCCCCTGAACTCTTGCTTTGTGGCTTTGGACACTGCAAAGCCCCTGTGAGCTGGCAACTGGATGGCCGTGAGAATTTGGACCGCTGAGTTGCTACAAGCCAGCCTGGGGCGCTTGTGTGTGGCCTGAACTAGACAGCTGCCACTCTGCGTGTGTGGGTTAGCGAAAGCTGCTGCGCTAGGTGGAAGGCGCAGAGCCACTGCCTGAGGCGAACGTCATGCGACCCGCGTGCTCACAGACCCAAGCAAGCGTTGCTTAAGGGGAAGCGCCGCTGGCCAGTCAGGCCCGCCACCCGCACCAGCCACGAACCAGCGTAAGGGCAAGACAGCGTGACATCCTCAAACGGCAGCCGCGCAGAGGCTAGTGGGCCTCTCACAGGTGGTGTACCGTGACGCGCTTGATACGTCGCAGTAAGCCTTCCGAACCCACCTTCAGGCGAACTGTTGCGAAAAGAGCCGCGAGCTGGTTCCTGCAGTGCTTCTCTTTTAGTTTTGTGTCTTCTGAGGATTTTGGGCGGCATAGCTTCGCTAGTACTCCCCAGAGCGCAAGAGGCTCTTGGCTGCAAATGGCAGCAGAAGGGTATGAATCGGGGTATGAATCGGGTATGAATCGGGGGTATGAATTGGGAGACATATTTTTTTCGACGCCCAGGAGCACAAAGACAGCTTGTGTTTCACTGCGACAGTGGCCCAGCACAGACAGCTGTTGCCACCGCATCGGACAGACTGCAGGAAGCAAGCTCCAAGTTTCAAGCTCAGCAGCGGCACCCCCCGCCACAGCGCCCTGCAAGTCCCAGCGTCTTACGTCAAGCTGCACCCCCCCGCCACAGCACCACGGATGCTACAGACAACTCTAGTACCAGGACATCCGCAGGATTGCTCTCTAACTCCATCCATTGGCACTTTCCATTGAAAATAGCAAGCCGAGACCGAGGTGGGTAACCGAGTGTCAAGGAACACCACTTGAGCCAAAATGGCCCCCCACGAGTAACCAGTGAGTGTGTGAGTGGACATGTCAACTGTACTTGGCCCCATGACATCAGAGCCCAACCGTGCAAGCATCGCAGACTCAAGAATAGATCCAGGAACCACATGTGCAAGTGAACCAGGTATTACCTCGGAATCCCTACCCCCTGGCATCTGTCCACATGACAAGCTCTCTAACACTGTTTCTTGACAAGACCCCCTTCTTCACTTGAAGTTAAACCCCATATAGCTTCTAGCTATCCATGGATCACATGCAAATGCCACAGTTCTTGCAAGTTCTTTTTGTTGTGTTTTTTTTTTTAAGGGGTATGACTCGGGGTATGACTCGGGGGTATGGTTCGGGGTATGATTCGGGGGTATGGCTCGCCCAAGCCCCACCTCCCACGAAGACTAAAGAACTGACACGATAAAAAAAAAAAAAAAAAAAAAAAAAAAAAACACAGACCCATATATATATATCGAAACCGCCCCGCGTCGACGTGCCGAGCTCCGTTTCTCTCGCCGCTTCCTCCCGGCAGATCCCCCAAGAAAACCCCGACACTCCCGCCGCGCGCCCCGCGCCTGCGGGGAGGTCCTGGTAGTCGTTGCCCGGCTGCGAGTCCCCGCGCTTCGGGGCCCAGCCGGCGCCCCAGATCGTCACGCCCATGACCTCCCGTCCGCAAAACCGCCCAAGTCTGAACCTAGAGTCCATGACCCTTAAAAAATGGGCCCATGACCCCTTAGGGTCATGGAGACCTTAGGGGAAGATCAATTTCTGGTGTGATTTTTGGCACATCAGGACGCCGGCTACCCTTTTCCCCCTCTATGGTAGAAAAAAGATTTCAAAAAAAAATGGACCGGTTGACCGGTGTGGGTCTGGGTGGGAACCGGCTCGGCCGGCCAGGGAATGTCAACAGGCGTCTCTGCGCGCGGAACTGGTTTTTGAGGGTAGTGTCTCTCTGCGGGTTTTCTTGAGGGTCGGCTTTTTAGGGTTGGTCCCTCTAGATGAAATTCAAGGGACGCCAAAAGGAAACCAACATGTTTAGGGCTCCACCAATTTTGGTATGTCTTCTTTTTGAGGAATCGGACACCCAACATTGGTTTTCCATTTGAAAACCAAAAAAAACAGGTGCCCTCAAACAAAAACCCAGATGGAACCTCCCCAACTTGGATGTTCAACCAACTTGTACGGTTATAACTATGCGTTTTAAGGAGGCCAGCCCCAAAGTTGGCTGGACATCCAAGAAGGGAAAACCACCGACCCTACGAAAAGGCAGTTTGTGAGAAGAGAGAATGGCTGAAAGTAGTTGGCACCGACCCGATGGCTTGGTCAATTTGAACATCTGGGAAAGGAACGCTCTAGGACACTCCAAACGGTATCCCGTGACGAATGCCATTTAAACATGCTTCCTGCAACTAAAAAAGCTGTGCAGCTGGGTGTAAAAGCAAATGGCACCATTCTCGCCGAGGTTTGGTCACTCGTCATCCCCTTTACTTTCCCACACAAAGGGCATGCATTATGCCATCTACTTCCACCCTTTAAGAATCAGCTACAGGAAATTCTACTGGACATGCTTTCTTGGTGGGCCTTTGGTCAAATTCCAGAATGCGCCTCGGCCAGCTCATGGTTGAGCACCTTGGCGTTGGTGATCTTGTACCTTAGTTCTTGGTTGCTGCAACAACCCCTCTGCCAAAAGTGAATAATTCGTGGATTCAGTGTGGAAAGCCAAGTTGATTTCAACCAAACATATAAAGTCTAAAGGTCCGTAACCAACTAGACATGAGGCCTGGCAGCTTGCGACTCTGCAAGTTAAATTCCTGCGTATGTCACACTCAGAACTCTCCAAGTCAAAGGGTGTCTCTTTGTGTGTGTGTGTGTGTGTCCACGGCTGTCTTTGCATGTGTCTCGCCTGCTGCGTCTGTTTCTCAGATTAAACCCGCTTTGCAGTGCAAACAAACGGGAAAAGGTACCCCGTTTGAAATGTGGGCGTGTCATGGCGTGTCTTTTGTTGAAGGTCTCCGACTTCGACAAGTACCCCGATCGAATCGAAGGCCAAGGTGCTGGAAGTAGGCCGGGTCGCTGGCCGCATTCATCGAAATCGCGCCGCGATTGATGCGCCAGTTGGTGTCCCAGAAGTCGTGGTTGCCTGGGAAACCCAAGAAAAACCGTGGGTGTTTCTTTTATGGGGAAAAACCTGCGCACTCTTGTTTGTGAAATTTCGAGGGCTCCTCCCCCTCCAAACAACACGAGAACACAAGCGCACTCTTTGTGGAGGTTGGTTCAAAAGGGGAAAACCCTCTCCAAAAGATCCCGAAACAATGATTCGCACCCAACGCCGCAATCTGAAAATGATAAAATGTGTCTGGGCAACCCTCACTTCCGTGGGTTGGCCCAAAGTCTGAACCTTTTTGTCTAAGGCTCCCGATGGCTTTTGGGCCCTCATGGGCAATTTCTTGAGGGCCCTTGAGGGGTGCCCTCAGAATCTCGGCTTTTCGTTTGCCAAGGCGGCCGGGGATGACGAACATGTGCTTGTACTTGTGCTTGATGGTGCCCAGCCATTGGTTGAAATCTCCGAGCTCCCCCTCGGAGCCCACCTGGTGAACCGAAGACGTCTGGCTTCACTTTGGTGCCTCTGGAAAAAACCAACCCAAAAAGGCTTGCCACAACAAAAGACAAACCCATACGGGCGGGTCGTAGAATGGAGGACCCCCAAAATGTTCCTTTTGAATGAGCCCAAAAAAGATACTTTTTTTTTTTTTTTTTGGGGGGGGGGGGTGGGGTTCAAAATTAGGGACTCTTTTAGCCCAGGGTCCCCATCAAGGGGGCCGATTTAGAGAGGTCCCCCAATTTTGAGAAACACCCAATATTCAACCTACGTGGCCTAAAATGTAAAACATGGTTTTTCTCCAAAAAACAGCGGTTTCCTGTGCAAGCATGATGTTTCATTCTTTTTTTCGGGGCAGCCTCTTTCAGAGACCGGCGGATTCCATGCGGCGATTTGTTTGCGAAATATATTGCAAAACATGGGTTCATCCCTAAGTTTTGGCTGGGAAAAATGGAGTGAGTCGACCATGCCCCTCCCAAAATGGACATACTCAGCTTCCCTCCAGAAGGGGTGGCGGCTAAAGAGCCTGGCGGTTTAGAGCCAGGGCCTAGGTGTTCCATTCGAATCCAAGCCACCAACCCCTCAGTTGTTCAGTGACCCTGGGGAAAACAAGGGAACCCTTTTTTTGGGAAGACCATTTTAGTGGGGCAGCCACCCCCCCCCAAAAAAAAAGAAGGAAAAAGGGAGCCACTGAACAACTGAGACCCAAACTAATTGAGGGGAACCTGACATGCTGGCCGTACCAAACCTCACCCGCCGAAGCAAAGCAACAGTGAAGTTTATGTGGTTCGATGCACAGGTCCGGGATTAAAACCAGCAAACATCAATGATGCGCGCCCTTTCCCCAGGAGTCATGAGTGGGATGATAGCAAAACACCTTGTCTCATTCTTTGCAGCCTGCCGCTAGCTGTGTGTGTGTGTGTGTGTGTGTGTCTGTTTTTAAGGTTGGATCCCCCAAAATGGTCGGGTTCATTTGGTTCCCTTTACACCAGCCCCAACAAGGGTACCCTCAAAACAAAGACAAACAAATGGCTATGGGTCAAAAATGCGTACCCAAAATGGAACCCTGGCAAATGGAACCAAAGACTAAAACCTGCGTAACCCCAGTTGTTTAATTTTGAGCCACACCCAAATACCAACAGAGCCAGAAACAAACAAAGACTACATGCCAAGACTTGGGCGGAGCTTCCCCCCAAAGCTTCAACGGCGGGGACTGGACGCACGCGTCCGAGCAATGTGCACTGGGGAAAGGCGTGGTTGCCCTTCCCCAAAGAAACAACTTTTGGGCCATTGGAACGCACCACTTGCTGCCTAGCAAGCAGGGTGCGATCAACATATCCATACTTTTGGGCAGGCGACAATTGCCAGCCGCTCTTGGCCTGATTGAAGAGAACAGGCCTGAATACTTTGTGAGCGGACCTTGTTATCACATGCTTATGACCTTGGGCATCGGAGCCATCCCAGAAATAAAAGGTTTAGCCTTTTGGGACTAGAGTAGGGTTGTTGGAATCCTACACCCCCGACTTCCTCCAAAACCGACCTTTAGCAAGGCCTTGTTCGGAGGAAACCACGGGAGCTAGGGTGTTGGAATATCCATCGATCCAACCAACCCCAAAATCGCCTTGGCCACGTCCCCCGAATGGATGAAGATGTCGGCGTCCGGCAAATTGCCAGCCGAGCGATGCAGCGAATGGGTGTCGCTCACATGCAGGATGGTCACCGTGGCCATGCGACGGACCTGTGGGCGAACCTCTTGTTGAGTTTGGGTGAGATTTGATGGATGTGTCCAAATAGCGGGGAAAGCCCCAAGGGGGGCTCCTTTTGGTTAGACGCTCAAAAACACTGGGCTCTAACAAGCCGGTTCTAGGGCGCTACACGTATGAATCCCGTTTATACAGTCCTGTCTAGCCCCCCCGGTTAACAGAAGAATCCCCCAATGCGAGCCTTTCAAGGGTAGCCTTTGGGGTTGCTTTAAAACCAAGAAGACAAGACAAGCGACTTTTCGGGTGATGACTGCTTGACGTTGTCAGAACTTGTCTTCTCCCAAGTGCCTGAGTACCCGCAGGGACCCATTTTCCGTGAAGGCCTCTCAGGGGCGGAAAAGAAGTGATGGAAAAACGCACAAGGGCACAAGGTTAAAAAGGTAAGCCTATGGAACCTGAGCATAGGTGGCCTTTTGGAAAAATAGACGGCCTGGGTAAATGAAAACCCATCTAAACCAGTACTACCTATTTCTATGCAAGGTAACCGACCAACGGACACCTATAAACCTGAGGCTGCTCTTGATGTACGTCGATCCTGTCTGGTGGTGCAGGATTTTGTCCGTTCGCAGTGCAAAGGTTTGACCACGACACCCCTCTCATGGACAGGGGAAGGCTGCAACAAGACAACGACACATGGACTTGGAAGGGCTCAAGAAGGGGAAGCCTGAACGCAAAATGGGACAAAATTTTCTAATGCGTCAATGTCCCATGTCAAGCAAACACATACAACCCTTGGGGCATCAACTTGAACACACTGCAAGCACACTTCCGCATGAACGCATGGGCTCGTGGAGGCTTTGTGAAATGCAAGCATGGACTTAGCCCCGCTTTGGGATCGAAAGGGGAGGAGCGCGTGGACAGGGAAGCCGCAGGCCAAGTCTCTCTCCCCCAGTTCGCCTGGAGGAGTTTGAAAGCTATGACAACAGCAAGTTCCCAGATTGAAGGCGCTGCCAAAGCTTTGGATAGCAGGCAGCAGCTCAGAGACTGCTACAGCTGCACATGCTTGGGCCAAGCCCTCTTGCTTTGTTGAAGCACGTGCGGCGCAGGGTTTGGGTCATTCATGTCTGCCAATGGTAGCGATCAAGGGCCCAGATATGTTCGCAACCAACACCCTTGAGAGACTCCAGACTTGCGTGCGTGCAAAGCAAGTTTGCAGCACCTGCGATTTTGTTGCACGTTGAAAGGCAGCAAACTGAATTCTAAAACCTGAAAGAAGAGCAGGTTCCAAGCACAGAACCTTCATGGAGAGATCGATTTACTCCCGAATCGCTGAGCTGACTGTAACAGATCCACAATAGCCCCGCACTACTGGGCCAGACTTATAAAAGTTATCTGCTCGCTTGCAAAAAAGGGGAATATAAAGGACACCAACAAGGGCAACATGATGTTGCTTTGTTCAGTGGTGCGATTCCAACATTAACACGTGGAAGCAAACACAACTGCTCTTGGCTGCTTTTCATCTGCATTTCGCCGATTTCGATCTCCGCTGGTCCGCCTACATCCGATTGCTGGTTTGGCCCCACATGTTGCAAACCAGCCCGCGCAGGCCTTGAGGCCGGAGTCCGTCTGCTTGGGCTGCGTTGAATTCAACGGCGGGCTCGTCACATTCGCAGTGCCTCGAAATCGGACGGCGAAATCGGAGGGGAGTTGGAAGACCGGAGCCAAGCGGAGACGATCCGAGAAAAGTGGCCGTTCGAAGGGGGTGCGGCGTTCTTTGAAGCCAACTTCAGCCAGTATCATGAGGGAAATGCCAGCTTGCTTTGTTTTTGTTGGGGTGGGGTGGGGCGGGTGGGGTGGGGTGGGTATCTCTCTACCATTGCGACATGCATTCTGAACAATTGCCCCAGAAATATTCCCAAAAAGCTTCGGAAGTCAGAGCGAAAACTCACTTACAGGTTACTCGGAACATGATTCTCTGGTGGCATTCTAGAACGCAACGAACAAAAACACGACTCGCCTGCGAGCGGAAGTTGAACCACTGCGAAAGCACCAAATAGGTGTGTCCCTTTTGACGGACCTCCCTCCCACCAACAAAACAAACACGGGTGGTTCCTTTCCAAAACAAACCTGAAAGTGGCACCAACTCCAATTGAAGGCACCATGCCCGGTTGGGGTGTGTATTTCGAGGGTGCCTTTTTCAGCTTCTAGAATAGGGGAAGCCGTAAAACCGCCATTTGCAGAGCTCACTTGAATTCCTTGTCCCCTAACAAGTAAAAACTTGTTGTTTACCACAAACATGCTCCCAAAAATATATAATAAAAATCCATCAACTCAGAGAGGGAGCGTTTGACACATACGAGTCCCAACTGCTTCCCAACTGCAGTTAAGGCAAGTGGCTGTTGCTGCTCACGTTCGCATCGCCAATGGCGATCGCGCCCAAGGTCGCCATTAGCAGACGAGAGAAAAGCGCCATGGCGCTTGTCGTTGCCGGGAAAGCCGGAAACGCGAGTGAAATTTCCGAGCCAGTCCTGGAGCCAAAGATTGATATGAAACCTCATGTGGCTTGTCTTCTTAGGGGCACCCCCGAATCCGAGCTTAATGTCATACCCACATCCAGTCGCCGGGGTCAGTTTGGAGGGGCAGGAACCCTACACCTAGCACCTTCCCCCTGATTGGTGGTTTGGGCCAGTTTGCCCACAAGAACCAGGGGCTCGAATCCAAACCACGAATCCAAGCCAACCAATAGTGTTAACCAATAAACCCTTGGTTGATCCTTTTTTTTTTGGGGGGGGTCCTCCTTTCAGTGAAGACTCAGACCACTTCCGGAGGGAAGAATGCAAGGAGTTTACATAGCTCGCGGCTCTCTCCAGTCTCCAGTGGGTGCAGGGGGTACCTCCCTACCATCTCACCCACAGCACACACAAATAACACGGGCAAAAGCGAGAGCTAGCCTCCATGACAACTTCCGGCTTACCCATGTCCGAGGTACGCTCCGAATGTCTCTTCAAACATCAGCCCGACAAAAGGAAACTCACCTCCGATCGCCTGGATTGGCCTGTTCCCAGAAGTTTGTACCACTACGTGCACTAACATGGCTCCAAAAAAGTGGCAAAAGTCCGACATGAAACTCAGGGAGCGAGCCACTCGCAAAGTGATGCTTAACTAGGTCCTCCAGTGGAGAGGTTAGAAAAAGGGTACCTTTTTTACGTTGTCTATTTTAGTAGGGGAACCCTCCCCCAACAACAAGGGTGAGAAAGGGTGGGGGACTTAGCTGAGGTAAGGAGCCCCGTTCCCGGTCGCCTCCATGTTCGAACCAACTCCGTCCGCGGTCCGCGGCCCGGGGTGATGGCGGTTCCCATGGGAATCCACAAAAGGTTTGGGCGCTGAACACGCATTTTTCTGGGGTCCCCTCCAAAACTCTAGAACTGTTGTTCTTTGTTGTCCTTGCAGTGTTAGTTAACACCCACCAGGGTCCTTGGAAACGGTCAATTGGCTTGACCGCTCGATTCCCTGGCCAAGACAGCTCACAACACTCCTTCCTACTTGATCATTTACAATCATCATCATCATCTTAGATGGTACCAAACGTTGACCCAGTTTATGTTTGTGGTTTGGTAGCTGGCTTGAAAGGGACATCCTCCAACTTGACCTGCAGCTACTTAGCGGAGTAGCTGAGCCAAGACTTGCAGGATGAGTCTAAAGAGCAAGGCCCCTAATTCAATGTCGACCCCGGAGAGGATACATTCATGGTTGCTGAATACGTGTGCCGTTAATCAACAAGGCTTCGTTCATTTTGTTCGGGGGGACACTGCCACATTAATCCGCGGGGATAGTTCATCCGGGGGACGAGATTGCACGGGACGTGCGTCGCCCTCAAAACACATCACAAGAAATGCCGGGCCAGGACGCATGTTCCCTGCTTGCTTGCCTGCCGTTTCAAAACCAATCCCGCCGGCAGAAATCACCGACGTCCCACTGAAACCTACCGTGGATGGACGGGATCCTGCACCTAGAATGATGATTCCCCCGTAAATGCCAACAAACCATGGCTTCCCATGGTTGGCAACCATCCACAGTATTGACTAGGTCCTCCAGTAGAGAGGATAGAATAAGGGTAACCTTCTTTCAGTAGTCTACTTTATTAGGGGGACCCCCCAACCAAAAATGGTGTGAGAAAGGGAACTACTGGGGGACCTAGTTGACCACTCGTGCACCATGAGAAAGTCTGCTGAAGGTGAGAGACACCGAGAGCCAACACCCGGGTCACTCCTGAGATGATTGACGCAAGGGGGGGGGGGGTGGGGGGGAGACTCCTCTCACAAAATGTGTTTGCCTGGCTGGTTCTCAGCAGGGCCTCAGCACGCCTACAAACCATCCCCGTATAGCTTCGCTTACGGAGTCCGTAGGTTCACTCTCAAAGCCCCTGTTAATTACGCCTTTGGATATGTTCACCAGTAGGAGTGGTTCCAACCGTACGCCCCCAGTAGATTAGCATGGATAAACAAATATGGATACTCATCTACAAAGGGATGGACTTCTTCTTGAACCCCAGTGACACTAAATCTCACTAGGGTACAAAAGGGCCCAGATTCTTCACATGCATCATTGCACCCCGGTTGGTTTCAAAGCGAAGTTGTCCCGCCTGGTGAAACAAGGAAGTGCAAATCCCTGCAGTCTCTTTCAAACAAGTCTCAGCAACTTCATGGGAGCAATCTCACCTGTTCCCTGTATGAGTGCAATCTGGTCAAACTACAACAAGTCCGAAAAATTGAAATAAAGGAATCTGCAAGTGAAGCATCCCCATCATGACCGAGAGCCACCCCACTCCACCCCACTCCACCCACCCGTTTTCGGGTTCCATGAGCATTTGGGGAAAACTGAGCAAGGAGCTGGACAAAGGTGACCCAAAGCTGGTTGAATGGTGCAGAGATCGATTCGTAGGTGAGATGAAGAAGGCAAGCCTGCACAGGCTCAATCCAGTTTCTCGCTTGAGTGGATGGGCCAAACAAGTTCCAACTTATTGAGTGCCACTAATATTGTCTTCCCACGTATATAAAGTCCGAACGCAACTCAGGAAGTGAGATTTCATTGAGCTACATGTGATGCAAATCAAGCCACCTGGCCCGAAGCAAACAAGTTGCCAACCTCAAAGCTAACTCCCCCCCCTCCGTGGCCATGGGACACCCTTGTGTGTTGGTTGATGTTAAAGGTAAGCCCCTCAAACAAAAGGTTGACAAAAAGACACCACTGGGGGTCAAATCAATCAAAGCGAACCCCCGCTGGCTGCACCTCCGCCCCCTTTTGATGCCGGTTCGACCCGGTTTTTCCATCCGTCTCGCGCTGATGCCGGCGTGGAAACCTACTTGCCCCGTGGCCGGGAAAACCTAGGCAAGCTTTGGTTGCTTGGAATTCAATCAAGCCTCTCAAAAAAAAGATGCCAAGGGAAACCATTACCCAACAACAAAAAACGGCGAACAACCACACCCAAAAAGGCGAAGTGATGGGTTCCACTGGACTGGGCACACCCTCCAAGTGAAACCGGAGGCCACAGAACCGGGGGCTGCTTCAACTCGCGCGGAAAATCGTAATTTGCCTGCTATTCAACAGGGCGCCCTATGTTTCCTATGTAAACATCACCCTCCACCAAAAAAATGAATTGGTTCAAACGGCTATGTGTAAAGCCAGCAAAAGGGGACATTTAGTGAACCTTGTTCAAACCACTCTTGTTCAAACATCAACTCCTACACTGTTGACATGTATAGTTAGTAAGTTGCGAAAACGAGAAGGGGCACACCATTAACCGCTAAAAACAGTAATCAGTGATCAGGATTATTCAAGTCCTGATTGCCTGTTGGGATTGCAGGGTGTATGCCCCATACCTCTTTACACAGTAGCAGCAACCAGGGATTGATCATCAGTCAACCAAGAGATCCCTTGAAATTGAAAGAACCAACAATTCCGAGAAGCAAGCACGGCATGCCAAGAAGCCCAGAAAAGCAATGGGTGTCACTCCTGTGCCTTATTTGGGGAACCCCTTGCTTGGCGTTGTTTTGCTCATGGAAACCAAAAGGAAAACCACAATTTAGGAGTGTCAAAAGACGAGCCACCCATTTGGAGGGCGATAACCGTGTCAAAAGCGTTCAAACCGTCCGCTTTGTCTCGCGCCGCCGCAAGGCCACTTGAAGATTTCTCAGATAAGCCGATCTCACCACCAAACAGAAATTATGAGCCCCCCAACTCCACACCCAGGGTCTATGTTGCAACCTCCTTCTTTAGATTTGTTGTGTTTGTTTAAGGGTTCTTGTTTGTAAAATAGACTCTAGCTGTCCATGGGCCCCCCCAGGTTACATACTAGGAGATTGATGATGGAGCCCCGGAACCTCATCTCAGTTGCCAAAGGACCTGCAACTAAAAGGTTAACCTGTTGGGGCCATGACTAAATATGGACCAAAATTGGAAAACCAAAAGGTCAAAAGGTCGGCCTTGAACAACTGAGTCATTGGACCGACACGTTAATCCGCAAAGTTTACAATGCTAAAGCCTGAACTACCAAACCCCAAGCAAAAAAGGACCCGCATCATAGTGAGCTCGTTCGACCCCCGAATCGGTGGAATCGCTTGTAACGTAGGCAAATACTTGGGAAATGTGTCATTTGGTTCCCTCAAAAGAAACCTGGTAAGGGTAACCTCAAGGGTACATGGTTGTGGGAAATACCCCTTGTGATACCGAAGTGGCCCATCGCTATGACTACTTTGAAGTGATAAAGCCGCTCCCTTCATATCGCGGGAAATAGCCCGTTAACTATAGTGTGCATCTGACTGAAAAGGGTACCAAGTGAAAAAAGCGCCAAGCACACAAATACCAATACGAGCTTCCCACTGAGTCATTGAGTCACTGGTTTCCCAAGACCTAATTCCAATCATGCCACTGATGTAACTCCACCCCAGTAGCTATTGGAAAACATTACGCACTCTTTTCTTGGTAGTTGTTATATATAAAAGGGACGCCCCCGTCGAAACAAGGGCTTTCCCCCCCCGTCCAATCCACCTAGCCCCTGATATACGGGGTCTTTTTTTGGGGACCGTTCTTTGGTGGTGGTTTTAGAGGGAGACACGAACGGACACACTTGTTGCTTACCGATCACTATCCAGCAGCCAGCTCAGCAACTTGCTCTTGGCGTCTTCCCATTTGGCCATGGGTAACAATTTCGTAACCCTAGTGAACATCCCAATCCCCGATAAAATAGGTTCTAAAATGGGTGGTGCACCTACCAACCAAAATGGGATCCCAAAACGGTTTTGACCACCACAGCCATTTTAAGACAGAACGCCCAAACCACATGGCAGTCCTTTTCCGGTGGACACCGATCGCGTGGGATCAGCCGATCATGGACGGGGAGGGGGCCACCGCATCGATGGGCCCGGGCTGCCACGGCAAGTCCTCCACGGGGCTCTTCACCCCGTTGATGATCAACGGCAGCAGCTCCTTCGCCCGAGCCCCGAGCCGGAAGGAGACGAGCCATAGCTCCCAGCGCGACGGGAGTAACCCAAAAAAAGCCCATAGGAAAATAGAAGGTGAATTCACCTTAACTGTTGGGGCTGCGAACGATTTCGACCAAGGGGAAACTAAAAGGTCAGAAAAGGTCGTCAGCAGCTCTTTGAAGCCCAGACCCAGGGCTTCCTGTGAATGGAGCCAAGTCTTCCAAAGGTGGAGCTTCCATGGAATCGCCTGAAGGGACCTCTCAGGTGCTATGTTACTGGGAGGGAGGTGCCCATCAGGGTTGACGCCGGATCTATATAAGTATAGCCGTCCTATGAGACAGGGGTGGGCCCGCCAAAAGTGATGGTTCTCCATCGAACCCAGGCACGCCCCCTATCAATAGACTGGAGTTGATTAATCTGGGCGCAACATTAGCTAACCAGGAAAAACCATCAGTATCTAAAAATCAAACTCCTGGTTACATGCTATTGCGGTCAAGACAAAACACGCTTTGGCTACCGAATGAAAAAACAAACTCCGTAACAAGCGAAATATGCGTTGTCAGGTTAATCGGGCTGCCCTCAAATACTAGCTGCTTGTATTGGTGGTTTTGGAATTTGCACCCATGCGTCTTGAAAGGGTAGAGGGGGATAAGGTGTCACCTTATCTAAGGGTTACCTGAGCATATGATGTTTGTGTGTAGGTTGAGACACAAAAAAAAAAAGGCTGCCTTGAAAAGGAAACCGCAAAAAACACGGTTGTTTCACCTTATTTTGACACATACTCATGTTAGGGTTTGTGGTTCTTTTTGAGTTGGTACCATTTGGTTGGTCACTTGGCGCACCAAAGGGTGGAGATCTACATAAGACTTTATGTCTCAACGAATGGACATTGTCAGGTGGATTGCTAGGTGTGGAGCTTATATACTAAAAACGCAAACCTGCCAAGCACCGGCAGCAAATGATTCAAGGCGAACCAGGCACCCTCAAAAAAAAGAACGGACACACCCACCTGAGTGACAATTAAGAACCAAGCGGCGCTTGTGGTCTACGCAACACCGTGCAAAGGATCGAAAGGGCTTCTTTCCGCTCTTATTGTGACAAGCGGACTTGCTTCACGTAAACCTTAGTTGGGGATTTGGATTAAATTCTTGGGGATTGGAACCCCTGCTTCTCTCTTTGAGGGAAAAATGAGAATCCCCTCCCTAACCACGAAACCACCCAGCCAAATCACCAATCGGAAAACTGCGCTTCTCTGGCCCCTTCTTTTGGAATCGAGAAGGGATGCAGCTCATACCTTTTTGCGCGGAAATTCTCTTCAAGTTCCGGGATGGCAACTTGTTCAACCGGAAATGGGGCTCAAACCCTGGCACTGGATGATTGAAGGGGTTCCCTCCCCCAAAAGCGAAGCGGAAAAAAGGGCACCCCCCCCAGTCCAATGATGTTGCCCCTGACGTGAGGGCCGCGGATAGTATAATTATCATTACTAGTTTGTTGGTTGTTTATTCAGCTATGCTTGCTTCACATTTATATATGTATACATATATAGATATATATATTGGGATGTTCCGGTCTCCGTTGTCCCTTTTTTGAGGCTCCGAGGTCCTTTACGATAGTGTAGGCTGCCAGGACAAGACCTGAGAGAAGCTCAGAAGCCAAGTGAGATACATCATCGCCCAGGTATCGCCCGAACCCCCCAGGCCCATGTGTGTCATTTTTTCGTAAATAGATAGCCCTGGTAGATTATTGAACCACCAGGCGAACAGGGCCCTCTATTTTTACCAACAAGGACACCTATGCCCAGGCCAGTTCACTCCAGCCCACTTCACTCGTCTCCAGCCCAGTCTCTAACCTAGTCCAACCGCACCCCCTTCTACCCTAAACATGGGAACCCCAGAAATATACAACATCGAAAGCATGAGAAAATTTATCTGGCTGAGAAAACCCTCGCTCCGATCAACCAGGAGCTGACGATGGGAGTGCGTTCCAGAAGACAGGTTTCGTCTCTTGGGAAACCCCTGATTTTCCACTACCGCTATGAATAAGACGGGGTTGTTATTCCGAGGTCAACATTGGAGGGTACCCAGGTGCTGCCATCCAAACATTGGTTCCCTGGTTCCACTGGGGTGGCATGAAGTACCCTTATCAAGGAAAGCAACATGTTTCGGTTGGCTTGTGGGCTCTGACGCGGAAAACTGCGCCTCCAAGAGAGGCAAACCGCATGGAACCTACAAACAAGGTTTGGGATTCCCGTAATACGAGCCTCTGGCAGGAGTACCTTTACCCGACAACGGTATCACCACAAACCAACAGGAAACAATTAAACCCAAAACCGATACCCATTGACCTGCCAAAAAATGGTAGGGGCCCACACCAAAAGCGATACCCAGAAGATAACCCGCTCGGCCCTCCCCATCCTTTTCACGATTACAAGCGTCCAACCGGGTGGGAGGTAGCTGTCTGGGGGTACCTGAAAGAACTCATCTGCCCAAAGGTCCCGAAGGTCATCGTTCGGGACTTTGACTACGGATGGTCCAACAAGAAAACCCACCAGAATTATAAGAGCCAACTTTTACTCTCGACAAGAGCCAGGGGTTCAACCCCCCCCCCCGCCCAAAAAAAAAAAAAAAAGAACTACGAAGCAAGGGTTACCTTTGTCTGCACACTCTCGCAAGGCGGGCCCACTCCAGCTGTGCTTTCATGACATGAAAGCTAGGAAAGCCAAAACACCTCAGCCTCACGCGCGCAATTGAGCCCGCTAGGCGTCACTGGAAAATGGGCCTTCCTCTTCAAATGGACATGAGTAACCTTACAGATAATGAAGTCTGGCAATTGTAAAGAGCCACAGTCTGGCTTAGACGTGACAAACAAACGGAAATACAGGGTGCCTGGCTTAGCCAACTCCACTAATTGCATGAGTATCGTAGAAACACAACCACCTCCACGTGTCCAGGTCAAGTCAATAGGGGAATGCATCCATCCTCTGGTCCGATCCAACGGGTGGATCCGGGGAACCCAGTCCAATTGGTCCAACCCAGTCCAATGGGTCCGTGTATCAAAAGTGGGTGAGACATCCACCAGGCTGGATACGAGGGAGCATTTTCAGGAGCCCGGCAAAAAAAGTATCCCCAAGAGCCCCCGGAACCCGCAACGCTCCCAAGCTGTAAAGTTTGTAGTAATAGTAAAGATTTTTATCAAGTAAAATGGAACCTGACGTCCGGGAGGTGCCTGGTTTGGACAATTTCCTTTTACTGTAAAGGGACCGGGTCCCAAACGTCAGGTTCCACGCGAAAAGGGTGGGAGAGTAAGTCTGACAATGAAAGGGCTAGGTCCTCCAGTAGAGAGGTTAGAATGAGGGTACCCCTTTTTCTGTAGTCTATTTTAGTAGGGGAACCCTCCCCCAAAAAAAGTGAAAAAGGGCCCCACTGGCAGACCTAGGGAAGCGGGAAATGTCGGGAGGTAGAGTCGCTTTGGGCATTTGGGTCCGGGCTCACCACAGTGACGTTGTCCAGCTTCCAGAGCCTCGAGGTCGAGGCTGAGGCTGGGTTGGGCTTGTTTGTGTTTTATTTATTTTTTTCGAGGGGGGGGGGGGGAAGGGGTTTGCGGTTTGAAAGGGCGTGGGTGGTGGTTTGAAGGGTGGGGTGGGTTGGGTACGTTTGGTTTGGTTGGGTTTGGGCAGGTGGGGGTGGGGTTGCGGGGGGGGGGGGAGGGGGGGATGCTTGGGGGTTTCAATGGGAAGGTTCCTCCGGAAGCAGCAAAGAAAAAAGACCCTGGATTCTTCTCAACACCCCCGGACAAATGAGATTCAAATGGTACGAGGTGAACAAACTCCAGCCAGGGTGGAGTACTGATCCCACTTTGCCAACCTTCATTTTCTGGCCACCCAAGCTCCCCAATAGGCGTCTACATAATATACATATCACACATATATATATATAGTATACTATATATATATAATATATATATATATGTAATATATATATATATATATGTAATATATATATATATATATGTAATATATATATATATATATATCTATATACATGTAGATATAGACATGCACAGACATGCCCAGTACAAGTTTCGATTGTAAGAATGTTGCGGGTAGGTTGATTTCAAATGTGCACCATGTATCAACTCAGTTGCCCAGCTTGGAGGAAATGTCAGGTTAGGCTCTTGGAACCTTGACCAAACATGGACCAACTCGTCTTCCGCAACCAAGAGGTCAAAAGCTGGAGTCGCTGTGGGCAAGCCAACGGGAAAACCACTCATTTTTTAAAAGGCGCCCCTATTCTAAAACAAACCGTGTCTCAAAAGAAGTCACTTCAAGTCGGTCCTAAGCCACGGGTATCTCCCGACGCCTCTTCGGAAAATAACGAGATCACACAAGTGTAGACGTTTTGTGGGAAAGTGAGCCAACGTCAACAGGCTCACTTGGGGACAAACCCAACTTGGTAAGTTTTTGACAATGTCCAAAGTCATCTCCCAAGTGCTTGGTTAAGTGGAACTCCCCCCCTCAGGGCCCCCTCTCCCACCCCCCACCTCGGGTTTCAGACTTTAACCCGCTCTATGACCCCCAAATTGGTGCTTCCCAAAAATGGGAAGCCTCTATAACATGATGGGATTTCTGTTGCTTTCCGTCTAAAACTGTCCAACATGGGGTCCCCCCATTTTAGACACCCACATGGACATGTAATTGTTTGTTTTCCTTCTTGGATCCTCTTCAAGGACCTGCTTCTTTTCGGGGATTCTTGACAAAATGCTGCACTGAATAATGATTCCCCTTGCCAAGAGGGCAATGGTTTCCACCAGGATTCATTTCGCGGCGCGCTTTCTGACTTTTTCCGCCACCATCCGTATGTTGCACCCCAGAGGGTTAGGCGATTCTTGCAGCCCGGGGCGCTGCTTCAGCTGGTCGATGATGGTCTCCTCCTCCTCCCCCCGCTCCTGGCAAAGGGCTTCCGGGGCCCCTGGGCCCTGCAAGGGGAGAAATGGATGGCAGGTTTCAGACATTTCTGCACCAAAAGAGGAGAAATGGATGGGGTTCACCTCTTACAGTTCTACAGGAAGTTGGCCAAACCCTCAAAAGAGGTCACTGGACGGCCCCAAAATCAAAAGTCGCGATTTACTGGTGGTGTCCATTCAGTTGCTGCCCACTTTTGGAGGTTGAAAGGGAAATGGCTCGGAAAACTGACCAAAACCATTTGGACGCCCCTCAAAGAACAGCTGGCTTCTTGGTTGACGTTGGAAAGGGAGCAACATTTTTTTTTTAGCAGTTAAGTGGGGGTTTCCCACTAAACCACAATCAGCAAAAATGCAAAATGTTTCCCAACAACAACCAGGACTAGGGGATTTCTCAAGATTGGGGCATACAATTGGTTCTGTTGCTTCTCTTCACCAAAAGGGGGACCCTCTTTAGAAAAGCACCCCAATTGGTTCCTTCGCGCGACATCCCTAAAACGAACTCCACGTCTAGCAACACCCTCGAGCACGAGGCTCCCCACTTGAAGCCCATGGGCCAAACTTGGCCGATAGCGATGGAAACCCGCTGCACGAGGTGGGTATTGGGTTTGATGGCTGTGGCTGAAAAAAAAAGCGGTGCCACACTGGCGCCTAAATGAAACCCAAGACTAAAACACCCGGAACAGGTCGTTAATTTTGAGCCATGGCCTTGTATGGCTCCCGCTGACCCAAATGCTGGGCACTAAGTTAATAATTACAATTGGGTCGTATAGGGTTGCTATCAGTGACACTTCGATGTTTGTTGGTGGTCTATTTGTGTTTATCATAATGATGGAGCTCCTCGTAGTTGGCATTCGAAGAGAACCACAAGGACACCAACCATGTTGGGACATTTGAGAATTGCCTAGTTCTAGTATATAAGGAGCTACCCTCCCTCTTCGCTCCGAAGTTCCCATTACCCTGTCTCAGCTTCTCTCTAGTTGGTTTCGAGGATTCCCATTGCCAACAAGAACCAAGGCTTCTAACCCCCAAACCACCACCAATTCAGGGGACATGCCATTAATGTTGACCCAGGATTAATAAACCCATCCCACTATTAGGGGGGTGTTCCCTCCAAAAGTGATGACTCCAACCACTACAAGGGGACACCCCCTATTAATCAACCAGGGGTTCTGCTTAATCCGGGGTTAACATTACCCAGGCAGCGATTCTCCGCGAAACGGGCCCCGAATCCCGGTCCGCCGGTGTCCGCAAGTCTTCCAGCCAGATCCTCGATCGCCGACTTTTTCTTCGCCGGATCTCGTTCGGAGCTCTGGGTCGGAACACCCCAAAAACGAAGAGACCCCAAGAAGGCGGCGGCCGCCGCCGCGCCCCGAACGGGGACCTGGCTCCGCATCCAGGAAAACTTAAAGCAAGCCTCCAGGTCAACATGTGAGCAACAAGAACCGGGTACCAGGAGTGGACCCAAAAAGCATACAAAGAGCTCCAAGGCGGCCGCACCTTTTTATGGCGGGGAGTGTCCCTTAGTTGGGTTTTGATTGTGGCTTGAATGGCAACCAAAAGGTCAGCTTACCCCCCATTGGTGGCTTGGATTGGATCGCGCCCCGCGGGTTAAAATAACCCCCTGAGACGCCTCCAAGCCACCGAGCTCCACGCCACCGGGCCTCGGGGCTCCAGCACCCGAGGCCTGCGTGTTCGTCTTCCACGCTCCAACCAAGCGCAGTGCAAAAAGCAGCTGTTCAAAGGCGCCAAGGCGCGAAAACAGCGAAAACTAGGTCCTCCAGTAGAGAGGTTAGAATAAGGGCACCATCTTTTTTTCTGTAGTCGATTTTAATAGGGGAACCCTCCCCCAAAAAGGGAAAAAGGGCGCTACTGGAGGAAAAGTTAGAACTCTATGGATCTTTCTTGAAGAAGGGTGGGGGGGGAGCTAGGTTTTTGCCTGACCTGTACCCTCTCATCTGACCAGGACCCCCGGCGTGCGGATCTTGCCGTTGGCCTGGCGCTAAAGAACCGGCGCACGGTGAGTTGTGGTGATCGAATATGAGCAACTGCACCCACTAAACCAAAACAAACAAAATCGCCTTCCCTCCCCCAAAACCAACCGGAAGGTTAATTGAGTTCCCTTCCTTCTGGTTGGCTGCTGCAGTGCCAAGCGCAGTCGTCGAGATATCTGTGTCCTGGACAAAATTACCCTACCCCAAATTGGTATTTGGTGATTTGTGGTTTGGAAGCTAGGGTGGTTTCCCATTTACTTCTGCAAAACCAGGGGTTCAAACCCCCCATCCCTATGTGTTTGCTTTCAGACCACTCTAGAAAAGGTTCCCCTCCAAAATGCACAAACCCTTGCAGGGGGAGGCCTCCAAGAGGCATCTGACCGACCCAAAAGGAAACTCAAGTTCGCAACAAATGAGAACTGAATGATAAAAGCAACAAGGGGAAACGGGAAGAAATCTTGAAAGCCCCAAAGCACCACGACTGTTGTTATTGTTGCTTTTTGTTTTGTTTTAATACCACCTCACAATCACAACGACATTGAGTTGTTGTTTCTTTTCTGGGAAACAGGGGGGGGGGGTTGTAGTTGGGTATGGGTCAAATACAGCCACCAGAAGACTGCAGGTTTTGGTCCATGTTTCCATTTACCAGGCTTCGCTGTTGGGGTTGCCCTATTTTTGACCCACAGCCATATTGAGACCTTGACCGAAAAAAGAAAAGAAAAAAACGCTGCTCTTTCCTGCTTCCAACAACGAGGTTGCATCCTTTTTGAAGTGCTCTAGCTGATTCCTTTTGGGGGCGTTGATTCACAGTGCCCATCAACCAAAGAGCTGGGCCCAACCGTGGGCCTCGTAGGACTGCTGGGTCTCGTCCTCCTCCCCGAGCAGCTCCTGCTTGGCCTCGCGCGCCGAGCGGGGAAGCCGATGGGAGACATCTCCAAGATCCAGATGTCAGGAGCAGCGGTTATTTCCTTTGGAACCTACAAAAGTGCAAGGCAACTGGAGGAAACCCTGTGGTCTGGGTTTCGGAGGTGTGGAGGGTATATGGTTATATGGATGTCAGGAGCATTTCTGGGTATGGGTCAGGTTATGTACTACTTATATATGGGGTAGAAATTTAACACAAGCTGCTATTGGTGGACAAAATTTCCAGCCTTCATACCTCCAAGCGCCATACCTGAAGATGCCCTTCATGGTTTGACAAGGTCACAGTCTTCCAAACTGTGGTGACTGCCAGTGTTTGAGGGTAGGGCCCTCAGGGTCCCAGGCAAAGCGCCGTGATTCATTCAGAGGGTTCCTTGAAAGAGCAGGGGGCAAGATCCCGGAGAAAAGCGGGGCTCAACGCCTGGTGGAGCTTGGAGGGGAGTGGCGTACTTTGAAGCGGCATGCAGCGTACGCTCTCTAGGCGAAACTCGTGCGGTGTCTAATCAAGTGATTTTCTGAAAGCCAACATGGACTCTGCGGCCCCTCTCCCTCCTCAAGACCCACCCCCTCCCCCCGGGGATGGGAGTGTTGGCGTGTGCTTGGCCCTGGATTTGGAGGGAACCCCTTAACAAACTGTGGTGTGTATCCGTCCGGGGTTAACATTGAGTGCGCCTCTTTCAGCTTTTGCGTTTCCCTAAGATCAACTGTTTTCTGAGCCCAAGCCAAGTGCTTCCAGTTGCCTGCCCAAAGAAACTCGGGTGCTCTTTTGGAGGTCTGGGAAAGCATTCTTGTGGTTTCCTAGGTCCTCCAGTAGGGAGGTTAGAATAAGGGAATCCTTTTTGCTGTAGTCTATTTTAGTAGGGGCCTCCCCTAAAAATGGAAAAAGGGCACTACTGGGGGACCTAATTGATGTGACCAGTTCTCTTCCCTTTGCTTCAAGTGCTGCGCTACTTGCAAATAATCTCAAGGAATATCCCCAACAGCCCTTGCCCCAGCGAACTGACCCCGTTGCCGTCGGTGTTGGGAAAATTGCGCAAGCTGCTTCTCCAAAATCAAGACACCACACAGAAACAAGCAAGACACATCAAACAAACACTCACTTCGGCCGAAGAAAGTCAGAACTGTTTATTTTACCACCAAACTGGTGCAAACCCAAAAAGTGACTACAGTCCATGAACTGAGGAAGTGAGAACAAATATGCCGGGTACTTGCTTCCCAGAGCACATGGGACAATTATGGGACATGTGTGAGCCCTCTTTTATGAGACATGCCGTGAGCTTTTCCATTTGCCCAAGTGGACCATCGGAACTATCGAACGTTTGATTTGGGTGTGTCTTACTTGGAGCTGGTAACCCTTTTTTGGTGGTTTTCAAGGGAAGCCAAAAGGGAGTTGGCACTTTGTTTGTCTTTTTCTTTTTTGTGGCGGTCAAGGGAAATCAAAAGGAAAACCGAAGCCCTACCCCTTTTTTGGTGGCTTCAAAGGGAAACCTTCAAAGTGGGCGGGGGGGGGGGGGGAGGGCTCCAACCCCCAGCAGCCGCCACACCTGGCTCGTGGCTCACGGCGGACTTGGGCGCCCGGGCCAGCTTCAGCTGCTGCTTGGCCACCGGCACTCCCGTGGCTTCCTCTACGCCTCGGACTCTGCAAAAACCGCCGCGAGAGGCGAGGCGCCTGGTGCCCTGCGCGAAGGGAAGGGGGAAATTCCTGGTGCCCCTGGGCCATCTCCAGCTGGATTGACTCAAACCATGGATGGGACAGATCTAGGGGTTGATTCCTTTCCCATTCTTTTCGAGCATCGTTCTGTTCACTCGCCAGCCGTTTCCCCCTGGTTTCTGGACGTCTCCTAGAAACAGCCGGATTCCTGGAAATGGACATGGTGCTGGTGCAACTCGAACATTTCCCGGAAAAGCGCTTTAGCGCTTTCCGTGAAGTTTGCGGAGATCAGAAATCAGATAATTTTTCCCCAAATCAAATGCTGATCCATTGGCTGGTGGCTTTGCACTTGGCACGAGGAAACGGAGGGATTTGTTTGTGTGGTGCTTGGCTTACTTGCCATACAGGGGAGCAGCACCCAAGCCCTGAGTTTAAAAGTCCGATCACCTGTTGTGGGTTCAACAAAAATCGGAAAGCCATTTGGCTGTGGCTCAAAAACCGGAAACATGGCAACCTGGTAAATGGAACCAAAGACTGAAACCCGCGTAACCCCAGCTCTTCAATTTTAAGCCACACCCATTTGTTTCCAAGGGCCCCCCTTAAAGAGCATTTACAGTAGCGGATGCCCTTGAAACACATTCTGGTTGTTGTTCGGCTGTGTCCTTGAAGCGGCCCCGTCTAATCGATGTGGTGATTTTCCAGGGTTTTTGTGGTTCAACGTGGATGGTTTACATGGACTCCACCGTATGTTTAGGGAATCCACCAAGTGATGGTTGAGGCAGAGAAGACGAGGCAAAACGTATCTTTGGGGTCCCTCCTGAGTGCATGGGCAAAAAGTCCGATCTGCGAAGCTCACTTCCTGAGCGGATCCCGGATGGGCCAGCAAGAAGTCAACACACTTCGTCGTTACCACTAAAATGGTCCAACCACAAAAAAAGTGGAAGTGAGCTATTGAGGAATTCGACCCGAAGCGGGGGCAAGCCGAGGCTGAAGACTTTTGGGTTGAGCTGGGTTGCTCCACAAAGGCGCACCAGAAGGAAACCAACCGCCCGACTCTTTGGGTTGAGCTGGGTTGCTCCAAGGAGCACCAGAAGGAAACCAACCGTTTTGCTTTCCCGAGACCAATGACGCCGGGGAATTTTTTGGGACACAAGACCCACACGGATGTCACAGCTCGGAGGCAGCGTTTCCAAGCCAACAGCTCTTCGGATCCCCCGAAAGAATGGCCCGCTCGGGAGTGATCTATCCCCCGCCTACAGCTCATGGTCGGAACGAAAAGGAAAACCACAACCTTGGTGGGTCCGCTTAAAAGGCACAGACTCAACCCATGCTCTCCCCAGACCAGAAAATTTGCATGGAGAAACAAGAGCGCGCGGAGAAAAAGGGTACCACAGGTCCCTTTCATTTGTTTCAGTCCCCTGGAAACCTTGCCAACATGTCCGGTAGTCGTATATAGCTTCCATTTCAAACAGGGGGCAAAATAGAACTTCCTTTCACCCACCAAAATAGTCCAGACCACAAAAAGTGACCGAACCAACCAGGAACTCAGGGGGTGAGTGTTCCTGAACTTGCTGGTGCTCAGCAGGGAATGACCTTCCGGGTGTTGGGAATGAACCGTGTTAATTTTCCCTTGGAGGAAACCACTTGGATGGTTTTCTTGGGGTCGTTTCAATTCTCACTCCCTGCCTTTCGAACCAGCATTCCTTACCAGCAAATGGAAGGTCCAATGACCCGTTCGGGGATTCCCTTTAAGGAGGCCACCAGTTGGATAGTTTTTCTCGGGGTCATTCCCATGGAGGGTCCTGGTCTCCCCCAACTCCCTTCCTGAGTGGATGGCCCAAAATGAGCCACCAACCTTTTACTACACCAAACCGGCAAGCAAACCCCAAAAAGTGCCTATTTTAAAGCAACCATGAACATTGAAGAGTAATTATGCCTTTTGTTGCCCAAACAATGGTTGATTTACCGTGACCAAAAAGCAACCCTCACCCCGAGTGAGTCCAACCACCTCCCCAGAAGCCGGCGGTCTGCGACCAGTCTGACCAGTCTGACCGGTCCGACCGCTCCGACCGCTCCGAAGCCGCTTCGGGTCTCCCCGGCGCGCGCGGAGCGTGGCGCAGGTCTCCGCCGGCGCCCAAGGCACCCGGACACGGCTGGCGCCCTGGACCTCGGCTCGCTCGAGGGAAAGCCGGGGGTGTCGGAGTGGGGGGGGGGGGTTCTGATGGCTGGCCAAACCTTTGGTTAGTTGCCAAACTTTTTGGCCTGTGCTAAAGGGAAGTTGTTTTTCTTAAAGGCGCAAAGCAGGTGGGGGGGGGGGGGAGTTTTTCAGTTTTACCCCCTTTTTGGTCTGTGGATGTCTGTGGTAAAGGGAAACCAAAGGAACAGACAAAACAGGTGACATGTTGGAAGGGTGGCCCGGCCTTCTTGGAGCTTTTCAGTTATACCCCTTTTTGGTCTCTGTTAAAGGAGAACCCCCAACCAAAAAAAACGGTTGGAACGGGGGCTCCTCTCTCTTTTGGAGTTACCACTTTTTGGTCGCCGCTCGCTTTTGGAGCTGCCCCTTTTTGGTTTGTGCTAAAGGGAAAACCCCCCCCCCAAAAAAAAAAGAGAGATATGTTGGTAAGGGGTCTCCGACCTTCAAGAAGAAAAAAGGAGCGCCATGGGCAAACTGTCCCCGAGCTTCCTGGCATCCACTTCCCGCCGAGCCAACCTTCGCTTACTCTACGAGCCAGGCGAGGCTCTTGGAGCGCCATGGCCAAAACCAAAACGGGGGGGTCCATTTGAACTGCCATGGCTGGCTGTCGAGTTTCAAATGGGTTCCATTGGAGCCCACGGACCTGGGGCAGCATGTTGCAACTCAAACTTTGCGGCGCGGGACCCGGAGCGCCTCTTGCAACTGGTGAGCCACGAGGAAAACCGGAGAGGTCGTAACTCAATGGGCCAAGAACATCGGGACCCGCAATGTAAAGAATGAGAAGGGCGGATATCCGCACACACTGGCTGGAACTGTCCTTTACTATCCTTCAACATCCCGGGTTTTGACTCACATGGCCTTTGCTCTTCGAAAAGGAAAGGGGTTGCCTTTTGGCCACCTTGAACACAAAATGACAAAGACGTCATTTCGGGGCATTGTTGGTTCCCGTTGCCTATGGGCTGCTTGACCAAAAGTACATCTTTGTTTGCGTTTGGGGCCCGGTCCTGGTGCCAGCCTCCCCTTCATGCCAGGTTGGGCATTGGGGGCACGCATGCATCTTTGGTTCATTCCTGTATGCTTCCCCCCCCGTCCCTCCGTTCGCTTGCTCAGTGACGAGGCTGACGTTTGCACCATGGCTTTGGATCCATTTTCTGGCATGGCCGCCTGCAAGGCGACCCCAGGTTTGACCAAGGTACTTGTCAGCTTTCCTCGAATTGGAGCCGAAGCCCGGAGGTGTTCCGGGGCAGGTGTCTCATTTGCTCGCCACAAGAGCCAGGGGTTCAAATCTCCGAAGCCACCAACTTTGGGGTACCTGATGTTAGGGTTTCTTAGGGTTTCTTAGGGTTCCTTAGGGCTTCTTAGGGTTCCTTAGCGTTCCTTAGGGCTTTGCTAGGGCTATTTAGGATTCCTTTGGATTCCTTAGGGTTGTTTATGGTTCTGGTTTTGGACTCAGCTCGAAGCAACCTGGCCACACCCAATTCGTCAATTCGGGTGCCGGGCAATCGTCACCGATCCTGGCTCGAATCTTCAGCCCAGAGGGCTCAGCACCCGTTGCATTTTCCCCGGGATAAACGGGTGCGTGGCCTTCCATTGGCTTACGCCCCTGGAAAAAACACAACATATTTTCCGCTAGTCATAGGTTCCTTTGAAAACCATCAGTGGAAAATAGTAATGAAAAAAAACACATTCTTAAGCAATGCAACTGGAAGTGGCTTTTGTGAGGGTACCCTGTTTGGTTTCAAGGGAAAAGCGCCAATTCTACAAGTTCTGCATGTCTTGGGCACAAAGACGTGGGATTCTGTGAATATGTTCTATATTTAGTCTACAATTTGGGTAAATGCCCCCTTTAAGGCTTGCTGATGTTCGTGCAATTTCCCCTCCTAGGCTTTTCAAAGGTGTTCTCTTGCCTCTTGTAATGTGGGTTATTTATTAGGGCTTGGCGGCGGTTCGTTGTGGTTGGCGTTGGCTGTGTTGCTGCTACATTCGGAGGCATTCAACGCAACTCCAAACCATTTCTGCCCCGAACCTGGAACAGCTTGAATGATTTCAAGGATGCTGAAATACCCCATGCAGATTGACATGGAATCCCAAATGCCACCATTTGCAGAGGACACTCCTTTCGGGGGATCCCCTTTGCTGGGCCTTTTGACCTTTTCACCTTGTGGACAACTACCTGTTTTTTTCAAAAGCAACAAAATGTTGTTTCACAAATGGCACACGGAAAAGCCCGTTCCCCGAAGTGATCAAATTCCTTTAAAACCAACAGGGGAAGATAAAGCAAGATTCTCAAGCAAATGGGACGCATTTTGCGTTGACAATCGACCATCGTGCGGCCACAACCTGCTCTTTCCCCCCCCCCCCGCGCGCAGGGCCAGCATTTTGGGCTCTCCAACTTACAAAGCCCACCAAAGATACTTCCCGAGTGGATGGGCCAAAAAGAAAGTAACCAAACTTTCTAAAAAAAAAAAAAAAACACTAAAATGGTCTTCCCAACAAGTATAAGTCCAGGAACTCAGGAAGTGAGTTGACCTCTGCTGAATCCAACCCCACGCTTGTTAAATGAGGGCCCTGTGTAGTAGGAGTTGCGTTCTTCCAGGGGGGGCCCGATTAGTACGTCCATCTCTCTCGCTCGTGCCTGACCAATCGTGCTTGCTGTTGGCACCCCTCTGCAGAAAGTGTTCGACTTTTGTGCGTCCAAGCTGGAAAGTCCACAAAGCTTCAACCAAAAGGTTAAAGTCCAAATAGCCATAAGCAAAAACCTGGGAGCGGTGCCAAACGAAAAACCCGAGGCTCTTCGCCAACCTGAAGAGCTTGAAACTGAATTCGTGGTCCGGGGCGCGCCCCGCCGCCCCGCCCCGAGATCTGCCCCCCCCCCCCCCTTCTGAGCCGTGGACCTTCCAAGGGCACTGATTCCTGTCAGGTGTGCTTGAAAAAGGGGATTTGCTGAAGGCCACCTTGAGGCTCTCCTTGTAAAGCAAAAGAAAACTCTGGGAATGTCCGGAACCTTCCCGAAACACCAAAAGCGCTTCTTGGCCCTCTTGGGTTCCCCTTCAACCCGAAAAGGGTAGCTCGAAAACGCGACGCCTATCGGAATCCGGCAAGAAGTCGAACAAGGAAGGACCAACGCCACTGGATGGCCAGTGGAAATTGCCACCTTTTGCTTGCCTCATGTGCGGTACATCTGCTAACGGCTGCTCGTTTGCTCCTTAATAAACATGCCAAACCAAAAGAAACACAATTGCCCTTCCGCCCAATGAACAAGTTCAGGATTCCATCTTCAAGGTTCTGATTGGGCTTGGGTTGGAGGCGACGGATGCCAAAGCAGCCAGTTTTGAGGCTGCTTTCTTTGTGCATGGCTAAACCGTGTTTCAGTTTCAAATCGCCGGCACAAAAAACAAAACAAACAAACTTGATGTGGGCGCCCTGAAGACAGGAAGCGTTGCCGTGATGGAAAGAAACTTAGGTTTAACCCCCTTGGTGGACGAATAAGGGCAACTCATTGTAGCGAAGCTGGACCCTTCAGAATAGGCTTGGTGTCGCTTTTCAGCAACCTTTTCCCAAAAGCACACATGGAACCTGCACAAGGGTCCTATGTTTATTTTTGGGAGGGTCAGTGACGTTCCATTTCCGTTGGTGACATGTTCATTCGTTCGGCCGCCATGGATCCCGAGGGGTCCATGACCAGCCGGCCGAAGTAAGCCACGGGCGGTTGCCCTTTCGCGCTTCCAGGTCAGCTCGCTGCCGAGTTATTACTCTTACCTGCTGAATGGGCTGAGAAAAGTCCGGATCTTTTTCCGGCAGTATGGCTCACCGTCGACCCACTTTGTGTGGGTGATAAAACATCCTAGCCCGTTGTCCAGCTCAACTCGGGCTCCAAAGCCCAGAACCGCCCAAGCAATTGGATAGCACCAGGGAAAGCCACAGGGGGTGGGAGTCCCCTCACAAGCCGATCAATTTACTGGTCGCCATGTTCTTGGAGAAAAATATATGGCCCATGGATGTGAAATTCCAATCTAAACCAGCGGCACACATCTATTTCTACCAAACTAACCGAACAAAGGCCACCTATCTGATGGCTTTCGCTCGTTATATGCCATCGGTGAGATTTCGGTGAGGCCATAAAATCGGCAGACCTGCGGTGGGCGGACGAAATCCAGTTTGCGCCACCTAAGAAACCACGGTTGAAACCATGTTATCCTTTCTGGGCATTTACAGGGGCAATCGAATCCTTCCAGGGTTGCTTAGGTGCCTAAGACTTTCTTCTTACGTGGTGCGAAATGGATTTCGTCCATCCACAGCTAGGTCCTCGAGTAGAGAGGTTCGAATAAGGGTACCAACTTTCTTTCTGCTGTCTGTTTTAGTAGGGGAACCGAATCTCCCAACCAAATAAGCTCTGGTGATATCCCCAACAGCATGCGGTGCTCTTTTTAGTCCCGTGGAACCCTCACGGAACCCTGGTGGAACCCTGGTGGAACCCTCGTGGAACCTTACCTGAGGGCCGCCCCGGACCACCCCGGAGCCGATATCTGGGCTGAGACCCCAAAGCTTTCAGCTGTTGGGGAAAAAGGGGTGAGAAAGAGCGGGCACCAATCGCTGGGGGACCTATACGACTCGCAAGTCCTACGCTGCGCGCCCCACGCGTTCTCCTGCGACTCCGCTGGCTCCGTAGGCTCCGGCTCCGTCAAGGTGACGGCCTCTGCCTCCGCCCGGCCTCGCAGTTCGGAGCAGACCGGTGGTCACGAACTCCTCTCCTCACTTGCCAATCAGACCATTCAAAATGTAGCATTCCCAAATGTGCATTTTGGAAGTTCAAGGTGCATTCCGCTATACATGCTCTCAGGCTAGATTGGTTTTCATAAGTGATCACCTTTGGGTTGCCATGACTGAAACTAGACCAGAAAGGAGAAACCAAAAGGTCGGATCCGGTCGATTGCAACTGGGTCTCACTACCCGGGTAGATTGGCCAGAAAAAGCTGCAAACTGTTGTTGTTTATCACTAGAACGGTCCAAGCCCAAAAAGTTTAGAAAGTCCGAAACGGAACTCAGAAAGTGTCCAAAAGTTTCACGCACATTTCCAACAACTTAAAGGATAAAGATTCAACTCAACAACCTTCCATTTCTGCGATGCTGGGAACGGCCTTGCATATAGCTCTGTCTTTGCAAGGGGGAAGCACGGCTCTGTTTACAAGTCCACCTTTGGAATGTGTGTCAACTCTTTCATTTTCGTGCTTGCCCGGATCCGGGGGGCAAGTGCACCCCTGGCCAAACTTCAGGGCCACGCCACTCAACCCGTTCCTAACTTCTCTTCACATGTCACCTTGGGGGCAACCCACTCAACATCGGCAAACAACGGGATGCGCAAAACATGTGTACGGTAGCCCACGCAAACAAAGACGCAACAAACATGCAACAATCATGTCAGAGCCAAGGAACCTGGCAGCACGGTGCGCTTAGGCGCTCAAAGCGCCCACAAAATGAAGTGACATATCAAGTGGCCAAGGGAAAACGGGGACAATCTAGTTGGAATACATAGCGTATACTCCCAAAGGGGGGGGGGAGAGAGGGGGGGGGGTTGGGGGGGGGGGTTGGTTCTCCTATTTTGATCCCTTCTTCCAAGCTGGGCTGCCCTGCGCAAGATGTGCGGCCGCGCCGGCCTGTCGGTCTGTGTCTACGGGCTTCCAAACAGGGAAGAGGGCGCATATTCAAAACCCGTTCGCTTCATCAAACCATAGCTTTGCTCTAGGAACCCGTACACTCCTGCTCACATGGAGCCTGATGGCTTTTTGGGTGGCTTGAACCTTTTCCTTCAACATGGAACCCGTCGGGTGGGTTCCCTGTCAGCACAGGAGGGTAGCAATGACGCGGGCGGGACCCACCAAACAGAAATCTCAGTTCAAGGGTTATTCTACATAAATTCAATGAAAATATAACACCCCCAGATCAAGTATAGAGCTAGACCTTGCCTTACCCACACCCAACAAAAAACAAAAGTGCCCGAACCTACGGCGCTTCAGTATTCAGCATACCCCCTGATTTCTTCCTTTGGCCAAATTGGGGGTGGCAGCCATCTTCTGGCCGAAGATGCCACGCCTGGGCGCTATAAAGGCCGCGTTCAGCACACTGCCCAGAACCTCGGGGAATCCGCAATGGTGGGTTGGGGTGGGTGGGGTGGGCGGTGGGTGGGGTGGGCGGTGGGTGGGGCAATTCGGCCAGAGGCTGTGACAAACATGCGTTTTAAGGAAACCCCCAAAATGGCTGGTTTCCTTTTGGCCGCCATGCCGACATGGTTCAACGTGCCCAACAGCCAGCCACTGAGAAGGCGGTGCAATACCCTCCCCGAATACCAGTGCGTCCTTCAAAGTCATGTAACTCCCTGGTCGCCAGGGTTTGGCGCTGGCAGTGTGCATAGGTCTCGCTGCTTTAGTGTAGTCCAGGCGAGCTCTCAGGATCTTCCTGCTTCCCGTCAGCGCTAAGAGCACGCCACAACCCAAGCGTGCCTTCGCCTTGTTTCCAGCCCGGTAGAAGGAGATCAGATGCCAATCACTGCTTGAAAGTATGCGTGGTAAATCGGCGGCCGTGAAAACCAACAAACGCGGCTTTGTGGCTTTTGGGGAATAATCCTGGGGTGTTCAAGACCGTTTGGGGCATCAGCTCACTGTCAAGCGGCTTTCCTCAGTGCATTAAGCCTAGAAGATTTCATTCCGAGAAAGGCTTAAGGCTACCTGGGGTGGAAAAACTTGAACTTCCATTTACGCGTTTTCGCCCTGGGAAAAATCGCAATGTTAGATAGACTCATAGACTCCCGTGAAACCAAGAAGGGAAACCAATAACCAATCTAAAGCAAATGGCGGCGCGAGTGTCGCAAGATTGGTTTCCTCTACCTTCCCAAATCAAATCAAAAAGCAAAAAATGAGCTAAACGGATCCGACCACCGGAAAACTGAAGTTTCACTTGTGCGAAGGGAAAATGATCGAAAGCCAAAAAGGCGCGCAACCGTTGGAAAGGCGACAAGTCTGGCAGTGACACAAGGCGCAGGACCAATGTCTCGAAACATGTCGAAACAAGGCGCCGGACCTTTGCACTTCGGGCAAGCTAAGTCTGGTTCTGCTTTTCAGAACCATCTGGGTCTGTCCTTTTTTGTGGCCACCCTTTCTTTCTGGGTTTTTCAAGGGACAAGGGAAACCAAGAGGGCAACAACCAGCATGGGGGCTGCCCCCAAAGGAATTGACACGGGGTTCATGGTCTGCCAGCTAGGGTCCCGCTCGAAGATCGCCGCGAGCCGCGGGATCTCGGCGAGCGGCGCGGCTCGCGAGTTGCGCCCGGCGGGTGTCGACCAGTAGCGATCGATCAGCTCCCGGGGTGCCATGAGTAGAAGTGGCGCAAGACCAGGGAAAAGGGTCAAAGAGAACAACTGAGTGCCCTCCGTGTGGGTTTTCAAGAGAAGTCAGCTTCCCTCTGTGGTTTGGTGGTTAGGGGGGGCCCGTCTACCCTCTACAAAAACCATGGGTTCAAATCTCCGAATCAATCCAAACCACCACTTAGGGGGAAGCTGAGCTACGGTGATTACGCTGTCCTAAAAGGACAGCGTAACAAGTGGGGGGCTGCTGTCGCCGAAGCTACGGGTTTATTTGGGGGGGTACTCCAAAAAACAAATGTGCTGGTGTGTGTCTTCCAGCCGTGTCATAGATTCGGGCACCCTGAAAACGGTGGCTTTCCTGCTGGGTTCCCCCTTAAAACCGCAAAACATATACCAAAACACCTGGAGGACCCTTTGATACACAAAAAAGTGCTCCAGACAGTTTTTGGCATTCGAGCGGTTTTTTCTGCTCAAATCCAATTCGAGCACTTTTTGAGGTTGCCTAGATGCTTGGTGAAGTGCTTGAGAGAAAACGAACCCGCAACTCGAGCGCAATTTCCCGCTACTCGGGCGCAATTTTCCGCAACTCGGGCGCAATTCCAAAAAGTGTGCAAAGCCAAAGCTCCGCCCCGCAATCTGTGCGTTTGCATGTGTTTGCATTTACCGTTTCTCGCGCACTTATTTGCTACGAAAGCTCGAGCAAACATTTGTGTATCAATGGGTCCTGCAGGCAGTGTGGGTCTCTCTTTCGAGTTGCTTCCCGTTTTCGGGGTTGGTTTTTAAAGGGTAAAGCCGGAAAACAATCAAGAATATCCGTGTCGGGGGCTCCGCTATTCGAAGACACCCCCATAATATCTTGTCCCCCCTGGTACCCTATTTGTTTCTGTGGTCTATTTTAGTAGGGAACCCTCCCCAAAAAAAAACAAGAAACGGTAGAGGGGCATCTAGCTGGGGGACCTAGCTAGGTAAAACGAGACAACGCCATGGGTCACCTCTCGTCATAAGTTCTTGGCCCAGTAAAAAGGAAACGGTAAGAGGGCAATTAGTGGGTCACCCCAAAGCTGCTGCCATGTGCCACAAGGATTGAGGATTGATTTCAGCAAGCCGGCCTCATTAGGTGTCCTTTTAGGGCAAATATATGGCCCTGGTAGATGATTGAACCACCAGGTCAACCAGGGCCATCTATTTTTCTACCAAAACAACCAAAAAGGACACCTATGCCCAGCCTCCAAATCTTCTGCAAAACCCCGCGGTCTCTCCGCAGCTTAAGCCACCGACCAAAGCCGCGCGCCGCTTCGCCATGACGACCCGCTGCTTCCTTTGCGCACCTTTGGACTTTCGACTGACACCTCAGTTTGGCTTCGGCTGGTCCATGCGCCGTTTGGCTAAGGGTCGTGCTTGAAGCTGAGTCGAGCCAAAACGACACTCGAGGAACGTTGTCCACCATTTTACAGCCCCAGGACGAATTTGGCTGTGGAGGTGTATTGCAAATACTTCTTGGAGTCGCTCACTCCCCCACAGAATCCAGCAGATCAAAGAAGGGCGGCGGTTTCCTGATAGTCCTTGTTATTTTTTAAGTGGTCTGGGCAATAAATGCTTCTTTCGGATTTACCCGGTGGACTTGATGATTCCATGATCTATTTAAGGGGGTTGTGACCTGACGAGTAGGACCATAGAAATCCTCGAGGGGCCTTCACTGGTGAGCTCGCGAGTGCCCCCCCCAGCCAGCGAATCTCAGCGAGTTGCCTTTGTCCCAAAGCCGTTGCCTTTCTTTTCCCTGAAGGGGAGGGGGCAGAGGTGGGCCAACTTGTTGAAAGATGTTGACACCGCCCGTGATTGAAACAATCTTTAGGGTCTCGTCGTTTACACAAGGCGCCGAAATGATGAGAATCCAAGGTAGTCATAATTACAGAAGAAAGCTATGTTTAAGCATCGAGCCCCTTATTCTAAACATGATTGCTTGGATTCAGCCTGCAAATGGGCCATGATGCGACTGTTGTGCCATGACTGCCGGTGAAGGATGGGCTTGTGGAATCAATGGCCCCAGGCTGAGAGATTTCATGCGGAGCTAAAAAATAGGATTCACCGACTATTGCCGAGAACAGGGAAATGCCCATATTGGACTGCAACCCTCACCATGCCCAAATGGGGTGGAACACTCACACCCCATAAGAAGCCTGTGTGTTCCGACAGCATGCTCAGGGAAGTCCATCCACCACACCTTCATGTTCTGGATGTACAACTGCAATCAGCTGACATCAAGCATTGCATCGCACCATCACGGTCCACCCGGAGTAGCCTTTGCAAATAACGCAACCATCTCCCAATGGAGAAATCCCGGCGGGTACGTGTGGCAACGCCCCAGGTAGCTGGTTCCGGGCGAATGGTAAAACAATGCCCTGGGGTGCACCATTGGTCCACGAAGTGAGAAAAAGGGATTGGAAGGTGGTGGCCGGTGGCTCTTTGGAGCCTTTCCGAAATTCAGCCCGGTCGCAGAATGATTGAGCTCGTTGCGTCTCTTTTTTTCAACCTGACTCACGCGCGAGGGACCTATCCATCAATCCACATCGCGGATTCGCCCAACCGATTGAGCATTGAGAAGGCTTCGGGCTAGGCCGAGCCTGACTGCCCTTTGGCTTCGGCATTGCCGGGTCTGAAAGTACAAATCTCGTTTTTGGCTTCCCTCTGAGGCAATGAACAAACTATGAGCAGTTTAGCAACCAGATTTCCCGGATGGCAAAAACAAATGATCCAAACAAAAGAAACCTGAGCACATCATTGTACAAGTACCTGGCTCAGATGTTCATGCGCTCGTTGGTCGGGCAAAATTATTCTTAACTTGGCACTGGGGTACACAAACAATGCGCAATATTTATTTATATATATATATATATATACATATATACGTATGCCGCCTCTGTTCTACATCTAGGCTATCCTAAGATAACAAATAGTTTTGAGAGTAGACTCCAGAAAAGGGTTCACCTCCTTGGGTCCAGATTCCAAAATTCATCCTCCTAAGCGATATGTACAGGCTTTGCACAAGACCCCGGAGCCAACAAGAGCAATCGACGACCCAAGGGCCAAAATCATTGGGCCCGTCGCTTGGCGACGGCCCCTTATGGGCGTGCTGCATAAACCCAAGGTGTGTAATGAAATGGGTGTTCGTGTTTTTTTGAATTGGTACCCTGCTTTGGTGGTTTTCAAGGAAAACTAAAAGGAACACCGACGCAATTGTTCTTTTGTTTGCGGGGGGGCCCTAAACAAGCATGGCTTCCTTGAAACATTTTGAAACCATCTCTAAAAAGGGTACCCTCAAATATCCCTCAAAAAACGCGCGCACACATGAGCACAGACGGGCGGAACATGGCGGAACAGGCTCACGCAAGTCCAGCGGCTCGGGTTCGTGCACGCCTTCCGGTTGCAAAGCCGACGTCCAGTTCCATGGAACTGGAGCGGATGGCCTCGAATGTCAGAAGCTCAAAAGGCGTTCCTAAGTTGTGAGGGAAACAAGCCCCATATCCCAACTACCGCGGTGGTAACCAGATGTAACCAGCAAATTTGCTTTGGGCCTCTTTTCTTTCCGGGTTAGGCTAAACAGGAGCGGGAAATTGAGAAGATCTAAGCATGACTCATTCGCGACTTCGCCACCCCTGAGTTTCAGCGATGTTCATCTCAGCCGCAGGATCCGACCCGTGTTGCATGGATTCTCAGCGACGGGAATGACCTCGCAACGAAAATTGGCCTCATCCGAGTGGGAATGGAACTTGGAAGTGGATTCTAGGGGGTGGGACCCGCTCAAAAGCGATGGGTTGACATGACTCCCCAGCACATGTCCAAAGGATCACACCCACAGGTGCGCCGAACTGCTTTTACAGGCATCTTGCAGACCTAGGTGTCCTTAAAAAAAAAAAAACAACTAGATGGCCCTGGTGGATGATTAAACCCCCAGGTAAACCAGGGATCGCGCTCTATTTTGCCAGCAAAACCCAACCAAAAAGGACACCTATGCTTGCAGAGGGTTGCAAGGTCCATTCCCGGAATTACAAGTTTTGCACGACACTGCCGCACCGGTGGCTTGCCCCAGGGTTCCCCATGCTTCCTCCACGGTTTGTGGGCTCAAAGGCTAAGATTCATGGGTAACATCCTTCTAAATGATTGGTGGATGTAGAAATCCTAACCTAAATGAGGGCGTCCTCAATTCAAATTCACCAAAGTCAGGATGTCCAAAAGGTGTTTAACATCCAAGGCTAATTGTTGTATGAGCCAAAACAAGGAACCAACCAACCCTAAGGGATTGGTGTCACACCGGGTAGGGAATGGCCCACCTATAAACGATAAGTTTTTTGGGACTCCATTTGCGTTTCCGTTCCCTGCTATATGTCCAGTAGTGGAAAACCCTTTAAAACCAACAAGGACAATTGACACATATCTCGAAACACAAAAGTAGGTAAGCTCGTTTACGCCCGAATCGGGACTCGTTCTAATCTCAGAAGTACTGACCTAGGGGAAGCTATGGGGACCCCAGGTGCAACTGTTGGCCTAACCAGATTTGAACCAGCGTCAGCCCGGATTCCGCCATCGAGACGGCGGTTTGCGCGGAGTTTGCGGTTTGATGTCGCAGCAGGGGTCACCCAGTCATTTCGGCTTCATGTCGCGTGGACATCACTCGCATGGTGCCTGGTGAACCCCAACAGGGGCCCTCTTCTTATGCCTAATTCTAGCTGAGAAGTACCAGCCAAAAAAACCCAACTCTATGTTCATTTAGACCCTTGGCACCCCCAAATTCCGTTTCCTAAATCCCTAGCTAGCTTTCAAACCAGCCGTTGTCGTTGGGCTCGTGTCTTGTGCATGTGGAGATAACCCTATTCGGTGAACCTTTTGGGACCTTTGGCATGGACTAAAACGGGGAAAGCAAAAGCTTCATCAAAGGTCGGTTTTGGACCACTGAGTCACCCCTGAGGGAAAAGCAATTCAAGTCGTGATAGTGATAGATACCCTTCATAAAGAACCAGCAGGTTGGAGAAGTCACAAAACCCGGGTCTTGAGCAACTCGAAGCTTCCGCTTCTTTCTTTCCTTTTCCGAGAGAAAGAAAAAACAACCTCGCCATTCCAAGCGCGGGGCTCTTATTCGCACTCCACGTGGGCCACTGAGGGCACTTTGCCCAGCAGGGCACACAGCCCTGCGCTGGTCATGGAGGGCACCAGCGCCGCACGCAGCATCAGCACCTGGCGCGGCAGGGGGGCGGACGCCCCTCGAAAAGCAAAAGCGAGACGTGGCGGTGGTTGCCCAAATGAGGGTCACCCCAAAATGGGGCAAGCCCTGGCAAATAGAACCAAGGACGAAATCCTGCGGCCTTTTGGTGGTTTAATTTTGACCCATACCCACGTTGTGTTTCTTGTCGTGGTTGGCTATGTTCTTGTCGTGGTTGGCACGCGGTTGCCTGATCCTTTGTCCGCCTCTGTCCTAATAGAAGGGCCTAAACAAACAGAATGGGGTTGCGGAGTGATTGAAAGAATCCTAACCGGAAGCCCGGAAGAATTAACCCATCCTACTTTTCTTTCTTGTTTTTCCCTAACAGCTGAAAGCTTTGGGGTCTCAGCCCAGGCTCCGGGGTGGTCCGGGGCGGCCCTGAGGAAAGGTTCCACGAGGGTTCCACCAGGGTTCCACGAGGGTTCCACCAGGGTTCCATTAGTTCCACCAGGGTTCCACGAGGTTCTGCGATGGCTGCATGGTGGTGCGAGCACTAAAACGAGCACCGCATGCTGTTGGGGATATCGCCTGAGCTTATTTTGAGGGGCATGTGGTAGGGTCACCCACCAAAGTGATCTGGATTCCCACCGAAAGGGGGCACCGGGCCTGCTTTTTAGTTTGTTTTTCTTGGCTCTAAAGGGGCAAGAACATGCACCAATTTGTTTGCACCCCACGCCCCAAGACCCAATTTGGAAGTGCCTAAAGCCCTACAAACAAAACCGTTTCTTAAAGCCAAAGAAAGCCAATCGTTTAATGCGTGTCCGCACCTGACATCCAACAAGCACGCTAGCAAAAGCTTTCTGGAGAGGAACTCTTTTGAAACGCCGTTGGTGTCCAAAAGGTCCAAGGCGCACAAAAAGCGCGCCCTTCCGAATTGTCCGCTGAAACTGTGGAAGCGAAATGGGATGCAGCTAAGGTCCGGAAAGCAGAAACGGAATTTAAAGGAAAAATAAAACAAATGGTTACAGGACAATTAAAACAAATGGGAGGAACCGGAAAACTTGGAAAAATGGGATGAACAGGAATGGGTTTGACTTTACCCGGGCCACTGAAACAAACAAAACAGGATTTGCAGGGTGAAGACGCACATAATGGCTACATGGACATTTGGTAGCCTGGCAAGCCGTAGCCTTGCCCATTTAATCTTGACATTGGAAGTTTGAGTACCGCCGAGTCCCTCATCAGTACGGAGCGTTCGGTAACATAATGTTCGCACGCAACACATCACTTCATGTTTCAGCCCAATCAACATTTTAGAATTCTTATCTAATTTGAGGATGCGACCTGAATCCCGCAGAGCTGCCACCTACAACCGTATACCTTCGCAGAACCCGTTCAATCTGAGGTTTGACCTTCTGGGGGGGGGGGGGGAAGGCTGGGAAGGGGTGGAGGGTTTATTCATCCGACGTTTTCCGACAAGAACCGGCAGTTCATATCCGAACCACTACCTCCAATCCAAGCCACCAACTACTGTCGACCCGGGAATCTATTGATACATACATCCTCTGATGGTTCCCCACTAAACCAGCAACAACCCCCCTTTTTCTGAGCTGGGGGTCTATTTAATCCGGGGTTCCTATTGAGTTTTTATTGGGGATTACCTGCTTACTTCCATTTGCGTTTTCGCGCCCTGGGAAAACGATAAAATATGTGCAGTAGTGAAATCAATTCCCTTTGAAACCAACCAGGCAGGCACCCCCCGTCTCCCAAGGCCGCTCGCCCTTTTCCTCTCGCGTCGCTTTGCGAAGAGCAAGGGGTCGAGACCCATCAAAACGCCGCCATCTGCCCGCCTTTCGCTTTTGCCAAACAAAAACAACATGCTTGGATTCTTTAGATTGTCCCTGGCATTGAAATGCAAAACCGCCGTTGCGTTCTGCTCCCCTGCCAAAAGTTTAACTTTTAGTGGTTTAATGGAAAACCCATTAGTTGGCAAGAAGTTAAAGTCCTAACATCCAAGCACAATGCACGTCTGAATCTTGCAGGCAGTCGCCGGAAAGGGTGTTCTACTGTCTACTCGTCTTCTTCCGCTCCTTCTTCTTCTTCCTCCTCCTCCCAATCCTCCTCGGGATACAAAGGCTTTGAGAAGCCCAATCCTCGGCTGCGCCCAGCGGTTTTGCCCACTCCCCACTGCAACCATTGGGTGCTGGGGTTGGGGTGGTGGAGGGAATGCGTTAGATTTCTCAGACGGGCCCTCCTTTGCGGAACAAGTGTAACAAAATCCTGCGAAAGTAGCTGGTTGTTTGAGAAAACAACTTACTGGCAGAACCTGGAAATCAAATGTTAGCCGTTTGGGACCCCAACTTGCAGGTAGGCAGACCTGTTTAACGGGTTCTAATACCGGGCCCCAATCGTTTTCACCGAGGACACTCATGCATGTCGCATCCTGCCCATTTCTTTAGAACCCATTCAACCGGCCCCGCTCCACTGATTGAACCGTTTGACATAGCCGGTCTTTGGTGCGACCGCCATAATAAATCCTACGAAAGGCTAGACTCTTGCGGGCATAGGGCTGAAGAGCAACGTGCAAGCTTGGAAGGCCCTTTCCAAGAGCCATCTGCACATGTTCAGATCCATGAAAGAGGGCCACGCATTTATGGTTGGGACGGACGGACCCCACTGGTGGATCCATAACATTGACGTCCTTCAAATTAACCTCCAAATGGTAATGAGGGAAAACTGGAACCAGAAAGACAAGAAATGAGAACGGGCCCCTGAAACTGTTAGGGACCCAAGAAACCACCTGAAGAATCTATAGGAAATCCATTGTTTCGGTGTGCGGCCACGTCCTGTACAAATTCCTGTCGTTTTCGATGCTCTAACTCCTCAAATGCCCAGTGGCCAGGGGAAAAAATAATTGGCATCCTTCGTTGGTGGGTTGAGCTTCAAAGGGGACCTTTCCAACAAAAAGGTTGAAAAAAGGGGCGGAATCCACCGGGCAACAAAGGAACAGATCTGTTGGAATGATTGATTTCAACAGAACGCCGTCTGAGACTTATCATAAACCAACCTGGAGATTCATTCTCCGGCCTTTTCCTAGGCGTTTTAGTTTCCTGGTAGTTTTGGGCGTGGGCGTTCTAAGTGGTTTCTAGGAGTTTTGCGCGACCCCAGAGCCCAATTGCGGGCGTTTGCGGGCTTTTTGCGGGCGTTTTGCGGGTAATTCTGGGCGGGCAAAACGTGAAACCGTACCAATTCTGAAATCTCACAAAAATATAGGAGTTTTAGTAGTTTTAGGCGACTTCACGACAAACAAAACATCGAGATTTACGAAAAGCAAGTCAAAGCCGAGAACTATCAGGAAATTCATGGAGAATGAATCTCCAGGAAGCAGACAATCTCATACGATTGGAAGTCCAGCAATCAACTGACTAACATAGGCGTCCTTTCAGGGCAAATAGACGGCCCTGGTAGAGGCTTAAACCACCAGGTAAACCAGGAATCGCCATCTATTTTTCTACCAAAAACAACCAAAAAGGAAACCTATGCTGACTAACCTTCACCCCACTTCAACCCCCTGCACTTCGGCCGAGCTGCGCTCGCGCTTCTCCCGCGCCACGCGCACCTTCTTGTCCCGGGCCCGCTCCCGGCCGTCCGGGCGGCAGCGCGCCTTCTTCTTTCCTTCCTGCGATGCCGTGCTTGTGATGCCCCCACTTGGTCGATGTTGGAAGGGGAGCAAAATTTCAAATCTTAGCAGTTAAGTGGGGATTTCAACCACTAAACCACAATAAGCAAACATGTGAAATGCTTCCCAACAACAACCATGTACAATTAACATAGAACCTCCAGGATGCCGTTGGGTGGATGCAGGTGGACTTTTGGTCGGCGTGAATTGGCGGCTGATTTGTGCACCGCCTGTGACCCCAACTTTCATGGGGGCTGCGGGGGAGGGAGGGGAGGGGGAGGGAGCCCAAAAAAAAGCGCTTAACAAGGCCTTATTAAGGGCTCAACAAGGGCTTAATTGGGCTCCCTCCCCCTCCCCCCCCCCAAACCCCCATGAAACCTAAGAGTGAAAGAAAGGTTCCCAGCCCTGTTTAGAGGCACCTGACAAAGGCCTTGTGCTACGCCGGGGCGAGTAATAGGCAGGCTTCGTTTCCAGCCATCTCCGTTGCAAGCAACACACTTGGGACCGTTTTTTTTGGGGGGCAACTCCACTCCACTTCGGAAGGAGCTCAGCAGGGACCTCGGGTTCCCCAGCTTTCAGCAATCACAACCCTCCAGGCACAAGGTCCAGTGTTGGAAATAAACAATGCGGATTGTCATGATATACAGGTACTCACAGCTAGATGATGCACACAGACATGTATGAAGATGATTTTTTTGTTGGCTTGCCGACGTGTTAGTAAATGAGACCGCCATTTGGGCCCGTGGGTTGCAACATGATCGTGACATGGCGTGTGTGTTACCCCCTGATGTGTAGAGGGATCTGCTCTTGGAGGACCCCTGCGGCCAAATTTTTGCCGAGCCATACGTCCCAATCAAACCCACCTCTCATTGGGGAGGTCTGCAAGCCAACACCAACTGGTAAGAACAAAGCACAGGTTCCACGGACGTTCTCGTCCCAAAGTGTAGAATCCAGGAACCCACGGAGCAAGTATATCAGAATGAAGACGTGTTCCTTGTTTATGTTTATGGATCAGAACTAGATCCTTCACCAGAGAGACTAGAAGAAGGGAGCCCTTTTTTTTCTGCAGTCTATTTCGGTAGGGGAAAAGTCTTTTCCCCAACAAAGGGGGTGAGAAAGGGCACCTGGCTGGGGGACCTAGACAACAAAGGAAGTCATGCCATGACCATAGGCGTCCTTTTTGGAAAATAGATGGCCCTGGTAGATGATTGGACCACTAGGTAAACCAGGGCCTTCTATTTTTTAACCAAACCAACCAAAAAGGACATCTATGGCCATGACATAATCTGAGAAGGGCAACTCCGGCCGCTGAGCTTCCAGCGAGTGCCCGTTTTCGATGGGAAGTTGCTCCCGATC